GGAGACACTCAGAGCCCTAACCTTCTACTCGGCGTCCTTCCTCACCTTGCGTAGGAGAATGGCCCTGTGGGAAAACGCCCTTTGGGAATGTAGAGTCTGAACCTTGGGAACGGGCTCTCCACGTTCAGATTCTGGCCATGTGGCCTGGGGAAGTTACTGCTGAATACTTTAGCTTTCTTACATGCAAACCAGGGAAATAATAGCACCAAGCTTAGAATTGTTTGGAGCATGAAATAAAATTGCACTTATGAAGTGGTTAAAGCGGCGCCTGGTATATGTGAATGTTAGCTGTTCCTAGTACACGCCCTGGACTTTTGGATTACGTCACTTTTTTTTTTAATCCTCACCTGAGGGTATTTTTTCATTTATCTTCAGATAGAGTGCGAGGGAGGGAGGGAGAGAGAGAGAGAGAGAGAGAGAGAGAAACATTGATGTGAGAGAGAAACACTAGCCAACCAGGGGCTCGGATCAAACCTGAAACCGAGGTATGTGCCCTTGACTGGAATCAGACTGACAACTCTTTGGTCCATGGGCCGACGCTCTAACCCCTGAGCCAAACTGGCCAGGGCAGATTATGTCACGTTATTAAGATAGCAACATGGCTGGACACACTTCTTCACCCATGAGGCACCCTAACCAACCCCATTCTTGGACATCTCACTAAAAACACTGTGATGTTTTCATCTGTCTCCACCTTCTCATGAGCACCTGGCAAGCACAAAATGTACCAAAGCCAAAATGCACTGGCCAAGGACCATGGATGGTTGCAGGAGGCTCCTTGGGACACGGAAGACCTGTGGTGGGGGGGGGGGCATTCCAGGCTAAGTCTCCAGCACTTTTATCAGAGTCTGTTTCCCAAAGAAGCCAAGATGACCCTTATGCTTTCCTTGTCTCCTGCCCTGATGACCTGGGCTAGGCAATGAGGCTGGGGGTGTTGTGAGGATCCCCTCTCTATTTGTCTGTTCCTTGAGCCTAGAATCATCCAAGTAGGCTTTCAGCAGCCCCTCCTCCAAAGCCCAATGTGGCCCATCAAACTCATAGATTCCTGGAACACTAAGGAGCAAAGGGAAAAGAGACTCTTACTCTATCTTATTTCTTAAATATTTTTTCTTTATTGATTTTAGAGAGAGAAGAAGGGAGAGGGAGAGAGAGATAGAAACATCAATGAGCGAGAACATCGATTGGCCGCCTCCTGCCGCCTCCCTCAAAGTATTGGGCCCACAACCTGGGCATGTGCCTTGGCCAGGAATTGAACCGGCGACTTCTTGGTGCATGGGTCAATGCTTAACCACTGTGCCACACCAGCCGGGCCCTATTTTGTTTTTTGTTTTCTTTATTTTTCCTGGAGAAGCAACCCCAAAATGTTTTCATGTTTAGGGCCAGTGTTAGGAAGAGAAGAAATCTGATGGCAGACCCTGTAAACCCAGGTGACAGGACCCAGATGGGGTCTCCCAGTGTTTCCATCTCATACCATGCCCGGTCCCTGACATGGTGTCCTTATCTCCCCCTTCCATCAGCCTGTGCTAGACTTGGGCTCACTACTTATCCATGGAGATTTTTAAAAAATCATCTGTACTTGTTCCTACAAGGACAGAGCATCATCATGGTCAAGACCACCCCTTCCTGATCTCTTAGTGGATGCCAAGTAATCTGCGCACACTTCTCTCTTTACAACAGCCCTACGAGAAGGGGGTGGTGCTGCCCCCGTCTTACAGAGGGTGCTCAGGGGAGGCTAGATGGCAGTAGCTCGTCCATATCGCACAGTCAGTAGTAAGGAAATATGGGATTCACACACCAAAGCTCATGCTCTTGCCCCCAGTCCTGTGCTGCTCCCTAGAGGAATCGGGGTGAGCAGGACAGAGTGTGGGGTCACCCTTTCACCGGGCTGCCACTCCAGCTCCACACTATCCAGCTACCAGGGCTTTATTTCCCCGCCACCGAGATGTCACATGATTCTCTGCATCTCCAACTGGTCGACCCCATGAAATTCCACTGGTGTGACTAGACAGACCGGTGTCTCCCGTCGCTCTCACCACCACAACACACTGCCTGGCCACTGGGCTTCCTCCACCAGGCAATGGCCCGGGGCCGTGGGAAATGCATCTTAGCACTCGGTCATTCACAAATGCCTTCATGGAAGTGCTGAAATGGGATGAGTGGCATCAGCCTCATTCTGGAGATGAGGAGGAAGCTTTACTACGTCAGGGAATGGTTTAGCTGGGTCCTGAGGCTTGGACTATTTCAGAATCTGTTCCAAGATACAATCTCATGAAAAATACAAAGTGTGGCTTAGGATAGGTTCCATACAAATATAAGGTCCTGGGAGACTGGGAGGGGTTAAAGGGGCCTGCCTTGCCAAGGTGAGCATTCGTCACCTGGCCTCCCCCACGGGGACCCCATTGATGAGCAGGAAGAACTCTGAACCCCCTGCTTGTCTCCTCACCCTCACTCCTGTCCTTGCTCTGAAAATATCCATGAACATCTGATGCATGCTCACAGTGAGCAGGACAGCTGCCTCCCGGAAGAACCTTCTTGCAGGTGAGAGGTGGTGATTGCATCAGCAAAGAGTCTCTGCAGAGGCACAAGTGATGTTCAGCTATTACTTCTTGGTGGCTGACTTTTTGCCACTGACACCTAGCAGGTCGCACTCTGTTCATACACTGTGTCCTCGCCGGCTCCTTCTCTTGGTAAACCAGGAGATCACCAGGTAGCCCGGCGTTGGAGGTTGCTGATGTTGGGAGATGCCATTGGGAGTAGAAGGCACACCCCACCAGATGGATCCTGAAGCCCATGCCTCTCCTCTCCCTCTCCTCCACCCCACCAGTGGGAAAGGGCTTTCTAAGCAAAAGAGAATCTGTAAGGAAGAGAAAACAGGGCAAAACCTAACATCCTCAGGGCTCCTCTGTCGGCTACCCCGGGAGACGTCTGGCATGCCTGCCGTCTCGCCAGCCATGGCCACGGCGTGGCATCAGCTCCCTTCCCCTGCTTCTTGCTCTTTGCATCCTAAAAAGTCCTGAAGCCCCAGAGCATCGTTTGATACTTCCTTGCAGCTCACTTTAGATATCAGGGGGTGCAGCTGGACCCTGTTCCAGATTTTGGGTGGCCTCCAAGAGTGAGTCTGGATTTCCTATAGAAGGTGCTTATTTATTGGTGGAGGGTCCTTAGACCCAAGATGACTTGAAAGCTAGTGGGTCCTGGAAAGAGACTGACCCCACCCCCAAGGTACCTCATCGAAGGGAGGTGAGCCGTATCAACAGGGACACCAGACGTGCAGAGGTACCGGGACCCTGCAGAGGCAGGAGTGTCAGGAAGCTGTCCCGTCCTGGGGTGCTCAGCATGTACTCCATTCCCTTACTGTGTACCTCACAGCAGGCTTCACTCCAGGGCATATTTTCTCAAAGGACCCAAACCCACCAGCTACCATCAATCTCCAAACTTGACCCCTTTCTTAAAAAAATCTTGCTGCCCTGGCCTGTTTGGCTGAACTGTTAGAGCGTCAGCCCAAAGACCAAAGAGTCACGGGTTCGATTCTGGTCAAGGGCTCGTACCTGGGTTACGGTTTGGTCCTTGGTCCCAGTCAGGGTCGTGCGGGAGGCAGCCAGTCAGTCGATGTCTCTCTCACGTCGATGTTTCTCTCTCTCCCTCCTACTCTATGGGAAAATATCCTCAAGTGAGGATTAAAAAATCTTGCCATGCATCTACAAGGTAAATGTGACGTTCAGGAAGGCGGATTCCATGGGGTAACAGCTCCATGCCTCTGACCAGGGAGGTGACGTGAGAACAGGCTCTCCGTGGACCCCGCTGCGCGTGCACCTGGTAGCAACCGACGCTGGCTGGGAGCACTTTTCTCCCTGAGTGAATGCTGTCTGCCCTTAATACTAGAAACACTAGTTCTCGCGTTCGTCCGTGAGGGCCTTGCCTGTGCACTGTGGTTCCAGTCACCTCCTAGCCGAGGGAAGGGTCTCCATCACCTCCTAAACCGTGGCCCTTCGAAGCACGCAGATGACCACTGTCCTCCCATCAATTTGTTTGCTCCCTGATGACACCAGTTCTTCCCTGCCCACCCCCGCCCCACGCGCACCAATACCAGCTCTTCAGCTTCTCTTTGTCCACCTGGGGGCTTGGTAGGACAGGATTTTTTTCACCCATACAAATAGAAGAGTCGCTTTAACTAAGAGACCGACAAAATTGAAACAATTTCTTGGCACAATAGAAGCTGAGACCCTGACCTTGACAAGAGACAACCTGTATGTCCAAAGGACGCATAGTTTTTTGACACTAATATCTGTATGTTTCTGTCCCTGCAGCCTTAGGAAAATCCAAAGGTACAGTATCCTCGGGTAGCTGCAGGCCATGTTCAGTCTGAAAACTAGAGCTACGCCTAGTGAGCTCTGCCCGAGGGCGGACATGTCCTGTCTGGTTGCTTGGCCGACTGACTTGAAGCCAACTGTTCCCGTCATTGAACGGAACTGGAGCAGAGGGTGACTGTGGGCATGATCTGCCCTTTCTCTGCAGTGTAGACAAGTGGGTGTGGCCTGTGGAGGTTGTAGCTTGGCCAGGTCCTGGGGCTAACACTGGCATCCTGACTCGGCTCTGTGCTCTAGACGGCAAGTGACAAGGGATGGCTATTAGGTGTCTCCTGATGGTTGTGCCTTGCTCTAGTCTCCTGCTGCCCTTGTCCCTGTCCTGCTCACCTGCGTCTCCCGCCTGGGAGGAGTGAGTGCCCCCGAGAGGCTGCATTCTGCACTGAGAGACCAGCTGGCTTTGGCAGAGGGCGAAGCGCAGCTGCCCGGTGGGGTGAGGCCAGGGGCAGGGGAGGCTCCAGGTGTGGCCTGTTGGGCAGCGGAGCCCCGCCCGTGCCCCTCACTCCCCTGGGCCCAGGAGGGTGCTAAGGCTGCACTGCTGTTCCAACATAACCTGCTTGAATGTGTGCGCTTCGTGGGGGAGGGAGCCGCTGCTGTCCTTCGTGGATAAGCAGGTGTCTTTGTGTCCCTCACCAGCATGGGCGTGAGGGTGATGGATACGTCCTGGGTGGCGCGAAGAGGCTCCTCGGCAGGCCGGAAAGGGTCGTGTGCCCCGCCCTCCACGCATCCCCCCGCCCCTCCCGAAGAGCTGGCAGCGCCTCTGCCCTCACCGCTCCTGGAGCAGCCCCCCGATGACCCCGCGGTGCCCTCGCTTTCTCCATCCGGCTTGGGCCTCCAGCCTGGGGCTGAGCGGACCAGGTAAGCCCGGGACAGGCTGCTTCCACGGCAGAGGGTGGCCGGGCTCACTGCACTTTGGAGCACCCCCGCCCCATTTCTAAGCATTCATGTTGGCTTTCTGCATCATGCTGGCACCCCGTAAGTCATTCACAGCTCCCCAAATTATCAGATAAAGGCCAGGCTTTCCAAGAGGAGCAGCCCCAAGCCAACAGTGAACGGGTCAGGGAGCAGCTTGCTAATGCAGTGTGAGGCATCTCCGCTCCCAGGTCTCCACTTCCCCTTCCTGTGCCGTGACAATTTCCCGAATTTGCAGTTTAGCTCTCCAATATTTCTCCTTTTCTCTCCTCTACCTTTAGATCTGTAGGGGCCATTTTTACTGCTAACGTGGGTGCCAGTCGGGAAGGAGTGAAGGTACATGGTCATGCTGGCCTGGTGACCTCTGGTGACCTCTGCAGCAGGCTGCGTGGTGGTTTTCCATTCTCCCAGGGGAAACGAAGAGAGAACAATCTCATTCCATCACCAGTTCAGTGAACATTTGGGGAGAACCGTGTCCATCCAAAAGGGAAGATGTGATCTGTGCCTTTAAGGTGCATACATTCCAGCAAATACTCACAAATGGCTGAGGCACAAGGTCTTCCCCAGGGTCCAGCGGGAGGAGGCTGTACCTGCCCTTGACAGGGTGTGGTCATAGGGGTTTCTAGAGGTGGGAACTACTTTGCTGTTTGTTCATTTCGACCTGTTCTCAAACAGAAATTCAGAGAACTAGGGAAGCCACACCAAAGCAAACGTCCCTGCACTCAGCGCTCCTCTGGGGTCACTGCTGGGACACCGCGGGAGACTTGAAGAGGCTGAAACTTTCACCCAGTCTTTGCTCACACATGCACATATGCACACACACACATACACGCACGCACACACGTACACATTCACACATTCACACATGCACATGCATGCACACGCATGCACACATGCATACACGCACACACACACGCTTGTACACACTCACACATGCACACATGCACACACACATACACATACACGTGAACATGCACACCCATGCACATACACACTCACGTGCACACACTCGTACACATACACATTCATACATGTGCACACATATACACACATGAACACATGTGCATGCACGCATACACACGTGCACACATGCATTCACGTACACACTCACGTGCACACACACATTCACATATACGTGCACACATACGCACACACACATTCATGTACACACTCACATACACATGCATACACACATGCATACACGTACACACTCACATACACATGCACACACGCACACACACACACACACGCACCCCAAATGGAGGACTGCAGACATTTTTTTTTCCCTTTAATGAGTAGAAAGTATTTTCCTGTGAAATGGGAGAATAATGGAGGGAAAGGGAACAGAGTTTGGGAGAAGGGAACTGATACCGGAAGTGCTTGGGTGCTGCTGAGTGCAGAGGACATGAGGAGCTGGCCCTGGCTGGGGACTCCTGAGGCCCAGGTCCCCAGAGGGCTGGGTCAGGGGAGCGAGCATGGGGGAAGCAGCAGCTGAGGGTGGGGCGGGGGGCGGAGAGGCTACCGAAGGAAGTAGATGAACAGGAGCTTTGCTGCCAAGGCTCCCTGTGCAGACATTGGCTGCATTCCGATTTCCCATCTCATCACTGAAGACGGGTGCCCAACAACATTTGACAAAGGTGGGTTCCCCTGGCTCCGAGGTGTCCCGGGATGTTCTGGATGGGAGGCCCGGCAGAACCTCCTGGCCAGGGAACACTGCCCACTGCTTCGGATCACTGTAAAGGTCAGTCCCCTTGCTGGAGCACCATGGCCCCTGCCCACGCGTCTCTTTCTCCCAAGCGACCAGTCCTGTGGCCTTCCTCTGCGTGTCAGAGTCCATATCTGTCTTGGCCACACGGAGTCCATATCTCTCTGACCACACGGATCCCTCCCAGTGCAAGCCAGTGTTCCATTGCTCTTATGTTTCTTTGTGTGTTCTTTTTTCTGGACATTTCCCGCCCAGAGGGTGTTTCCTCCAGTGGCCGGATTCCTGTCATGGTTCCCCTTCCCCTCAGGATGGCAGGCCCATCCCTCCCTGTGGCTTGTCCATCCCCCTGCCCCTCTCCCCTCAAGGCTGAGGGCTCTCTCGAGCCTGGCTCAGCCTCTGCACCTTATCTGTTAGGCATTAACTCCAACCCCAAACTCTGTTTCCTGGCCCTGGGCATCCCAGCTCACTGAGTCATGCTCCCCAAAACTAACCTGTCCTCAACCACGTTGAAACACTTTATCCATCCAGTGCTCCTAATAACCACCTTGCATCCCACCTCGCCCACTGGGTCAGCTGCACCTGTGCTGGAGAGGAGCCCGGCGTCGCAGGTGAAGACCTGTCTGCAGTGGGGAAGTGGACAGGTGGGAGGGAGGAAGAAGGATGAGCTGGCTTTGAGGTCCCTAGATCCTTGTCCAGCAGGAAGAAGAGTCTCTTACCCAACCAGAAGCATTTCTTTTGTTTGCTGGTTTTGTGTTTTCTTTTGTTGCTTGATTATTGTCTTTCCCCCTCCTCCTGATGGAGGAGGCAGATATGGACGGAAGGGTGGAGAGCTGGTTGGCGTTAATGCCTGAGTGCCTGGTCACCTTAGGCCTGAAGGAGAACAGTGTGAAGCGAGGTGCAGGTTGGTGCTGCGGTCGCTGTAACGGAGCAGAGAATGCGCTGCTGCTCCTCCAGGCCTCTGATGAGTCAGGTGTTTCCTTGGGGCGTTACCCAGGTGTGGTGTGACACTCTCCCGAGAGGGGCACGGACCTCGACCTCGAGTGTGGCCTTCCCTTCATCCCTCCACGTGGGGAAGAGGAGTTGAACTTGGCTGTTCCGGCCCAGGCCCCTCCCTTCCTTACCGTACCTCGGTGGGAGGAGCAGCGTATTCCTAGCTCTATAATATTTGGCGTTTCTAGACAAATTCAGGGAAGAAATGGGCTATTGCTGCTTTTGTGGGAAAGAAATGACAATGGCGAAGGATTTCGGTTTCCTGCCTCTCCATTTCCTGAGTGAGGGCCTCAGACCCCAGGCAGGTTCCAGCAAGGACGACAGACAGCTCCCAGCTCTCAGGGCGCCTCCCTGATTCCTTCGGGGCTTCCTGCAGCATTAAGGGGAAAACGAGCTAGAGCCCTCGGGGGAGGCGGAATACGGAGGGCCACGGGGTGGTCAGGAGCGAGGAGTCGGCCATTTATTAGCTGCTCCTGGTCTGTGGGATGGAGTATGACCGGGAAGTCTTTCAACATGTGCTGTTTCCTTAGGAGAATGCCTGAGAACGAGCCACAGTGAAGGGTGAACCCTCTTTAGGACTGGTGACTCGGGGTGTCCCTTTATTAATTGAAGGGACTCCAGAGGCCCTCAGTGTTGTTGACGCTGACCGCCCCCCCCCATACCTGGAAGACTGGCTCTTGAACTGGCTCATATTCGAGAGCACAGCCAGGCTCTGTTTCAACCCTACCATTTGCTGGGACCTCTTGAGTTTGAGGATGGGCCCCCAAATTCCTCCCCTGCTTGGGGGTGTTACAGGCGTTCAGGGAAGGCAGCTGGAGAGCTGGAGCACCATGGCCCTGTGCCCAGCAGGGACCCGAGTCCTAGCCCTCACTCAGCACACCGACACCAACAGGCCCTCTCGCTCTGTACGCCGTGGGTGCGGATGGGAGCACGCAGGGTCCCGGCTCAGAGTCCGGGAATCCCAGGATCACAGGACCGGGCTGCTCAGGGCCCTGCCGCCCGTTGCTCCTGGTCTCCTGCAGAGAGAGGGCAGAGGCGTGGACAGGAAGTTGCCACTGAATGCCACACTGAGGAGGAAATAGGGTCCAGGCCGTCAGAGCCCCAAGAAGGGATGGCCACCACTAGGGTCATCTTGAGGACTTTAAGAACGGCCTGATGCCCTTGCTGGTTTGGCTCAGAGGTCGGAGCATTGGCCCATGGCCTGAAGAGTTGCGGATTCAATTTCGGTCAAGGGCACGTACCTTGGTTGTGGTTCAGTCCCCGGCCCTGGTAGGGGTTGTGTGGGAGGCAATTAGTCGATGTGTCTCTCCCCTCACTCTGCCATCGGGCAAGGATTAAAAAAAAAAAGAAGGGCCTGAGCAGGGACAGACCTGAGCGGGGACAGACCTGAGCGGGACAGACCTGAGCGGGGACAGACCTGAGCGGGACAGACCTGAGCGGGACAGACCTGAGCGGGGACAGACCTGAGCAGGGACAGACCTGAGCGGGGACAGACCTGAGCGGGGACAGACCTGAGCGGGACAGACCTGAGCCGGCCGAGATTCTCATGTTACAGTCTGCAGTGCTGCTGCTGAAGTTCCCAAGTCCAAGCTTCTCTCGTCCTTCTGTTTCAGCGCTTCTAAAAGCAAGGAACTTTCTCCGGGATCTGGGCAGAAGGGAAGTCCGGGTTCCAGCCAGGGGGCACCCTGTGCGGGGACGCAACCAGGGACACAACCAGGCACCAGCCCTAGCCAGCCGCCTGCAGACCAGAGCCCTCACACCCTGCGGAAAGGTACGTCACCTGGCGCCACCCCCACGCCTGTCTCAGGCCAGAGATAGCCGTCCGCTGCCTGAAGGCACTCAGCTGGGTCCCTGGACACCGTGTGGCTTAGTGAAACAGTCATCTATGCATTCGAGGTTTTGGAAGTTGACCAACTCCAAGAAGGATTATTTTATCACTGTGCCTCAGTTTCCTCATTTGACAGTGGGCTCGCTAGGGGTGTGTATAAGGTATTTCTTTTTGTGCACCAAGACGTCTCTGCAGGATCACTGCCCAGAGGCCATGTGCTGTCCACATCCCTGCCAGGTGCCCCGCCATCATTTAGGGTGCTGTGTGCTGCCTGCCCTGGGGTTGCTTTGCAGAGTGTGACAGAGGAGGGGATTGGATTGCCGGCACAGGATCCCTGCCTTCGAGATTCATGTTCTCAAAGTTCAGAGAATGCCTGCGCTAACCCCTGATCCGCCCAACCCAGGATCCGCCACAGGACCCACTGTCAAAGGCCCAGTTATTCTCTCCGAAATGACTCCCCAAAGCTCGTGGTGGGAGCTGCAGGGGACACCTGCTCGGCCTGCTCTGTGTTGTCACCTGAGGCCATTGCTCTGCAAAGCCTTTAAATTCCTTCAAGTGGTAACTGTTTCATGTGTCTCAGTTCCGGCCTCTCCACCGTCTAGGCGTGGCTCTGGCTCCAGGACCGGGACAGGCCTGGTCCCAGCCGCTTCTTGCCCACCCTGGCCATGCCTTCAGCCTTCTGCACAGCCACTGGGCCCCGCAGTGTGCACAGCTCAGGGGAGGCAACAGTGGCAGGTGCAGCCTCTGGAGAGGTGACTGTGGACGTACCACAGGGCAGTGCTGCTAGGGCACCTTGTCTCCCCGGGGCACCCCCCACACGGGGCACCCCACACACGGGGCACCCCCCACACAGGGGGCATCTCCCACACACGGGGCATCTCCCACACATGGGGCACCATACATATGGGGCAGCCCACACACGGGGCACCCCCCACAAATGGGGCATCTCCCACACACGGGGCACCCCCCACAAATGGGGCACCCCCACACATGGGGCACCCCCACACTGGGCACCACACACACGGGGCACCCCACACACGGGGCACCTCCCACACACGGGGCAACCCCCACACACACGGGGCACCCCACACACGGGGCACCTTTCACACAGGGGGCACCCCACACACACGGGGCACCCCCCACACACGGGGCCCCTCCCACACACGGGGCCCCTCCCACACACGGGGCACCCCACACACAGGGGGCACCCCACACACACGGGGCACCCCACACACGGGGCCCCTCCCACACACGGGGCACCTCCCACACACGCAGGAGGTGGGCACAGCGGTGGCAGGGGGATGGCAGCATCCAGGGTTCCTCTTCCGCACCCACAGGCCCTCCTTGGGGCCTCGATGTAGTCCTCTGGCCATGTTTGAGTTCGAGGCCGGAACCCTCCCCAGCCCCACATGCAGAGGGATGGCTGAGCCATCCTCTGTCTAAGGAGTCAGCGCTCCTGATCCAGCCCTCAGCTTCCTCCTGTGTAACGGGCCTGTGGGCGCCCACAGCGCTGTGGGCCTCTCGGAGCCGCCTGGTGACGCGGGGCCTCTCCCAGGGGACGCTCAGCTCAGTCATCATCTCGATACCCCTCTTCGCCACCCTCCCCCGTCGCCCACTAACCGCACACACAGCTTTTTCTTAACCCCTCGGTCTTGACATCATGGCCTTGTCCTGTGACCACCCAGAAGCGTCACTGTCATCACAGACCTCATGGTGCCCCACTCTCCTCCCTCTCAGCTCATTTAGGGGAGACGAGTTCCAGCCTGACCCTGGGGTCTCCCCGGCCTTCCAGCTGGTGGCAGGGCGTCCTCACCAGCCAGCAGCGCTGGAAGGGGTTTATCAAGTCAGGGCCGCGTGGTGCTTTACATACACGGCCCCATTCATTGTGGCGGCGCCGCGGACAAGGTTTACAGGGGTTGCCCAGGGCAGACAGTGGGTAAGACGGAGGAACTGAGCCCATGTTGGCGGGACCCGGAGAACATGTCCTTTCTGGTCTCCGCTGCATACTGAGGGGCCAGGACCCGAGGAGGCATGATTAGAATGGATTTTGTTCCGTGGGGGGGGGGGGGGTCCCCGACGCCTCCTGCAGGGCCTGAAGGACCGTTCCTTCTGGAATCAGTGGTGCCCATAGTCAGCCTTCGTGTCACTCTGACATCAGTGATCACTTCCTCAAGACCTTTGCCCCGAATGTTTCCATTTGTCATCCTTCCGGTTCATTTTCCAGTTAAGCGTATAATGTAGTTGTCATCCTTTAGCAGGAGCAAGTAAGTGAAAAGGGGAGTGGAGCAAATGCGGAGGGTGCTGTGCTTAGAACACGGCAGCAGGCCTGTGCACAGGGTGGGAGCGGGCGGGGACGGACAGGAGGCGCTGGGGTCCACACAGGGTGGGGGATGGGCGGGGACGAACAGGAGGTGCTGGGGTCCACACAGGATGGGGGCGCGCAGGGACGGACAGGAGGCACTGGGGTCCACACAGCATGGGGGGATGGGTGGGGACAGACAAGAGGCGCTGGGGTCCACACAGGATGGGGGGATGGGCGGGGACAGACAGGAGGCGCAGGGGTCCACACAGGGTGGGCACGGGCGGGGACGGACAGGAGGCGCTGGGGCCCACACAGGGTGGGGGCGGGCGGGGACGGACAGGAGGCGCTGGGGTCCACACAAGGTGGGGGGATGGGCGGGGACGGACAGGAGGTGCTGGGGTCCACACAGGGTGGGGGCGGGCGGGGACGGACAGGAGGCACTGGGGTCCACACAGGATGGGGGGATGGGCGGGGACAGACAGGAGGCGCTGGGGTCCACACAGGATGGGGGGATGGGCGGGGACAGACAGGAGGCGCTGGGGTCCACACAGGATGGGGGGATGGGCGGAGACAGACAGGAGGCACTGGGGTCCACACAGCATGGAGGGATGGGCGGGGACGGACCGGAGGCGCTGGGGTCCACACAGGGTGGGGGGATGGGTGGGGACGGACAGGAGGCGCTGGGGTCCACACAGGGTGGGGGTAGATGGGCAGGACAGACAGGAGGCGCTGGGGTCCACACAGGATGGGGGGATGGGCGGGGACAGACAGGAGGCTCTGAGCTTCTGGGGTCCACACAGGATGGGGGGTGGACGAGGACAGACAGGAGACACTGGGGTCCACACAGGATGGGGGATGGGCGGGGACAGACAGGCACTGGGGTCCACACAGGATGGGGGGATGGACGGGGACAGACAGGAGGCACTGGGGTCCACACAGGATGGGGGGATGGGCGGGGACAGACAGGAGGCACTGTGGTCCACACAGGATGGGGGGTGGACGGGGACAGACAGGAGGCACTGGGGTCCACACAGGATGGGGGGTGGACGAGGACAGACAGGAGGCTCTGGGGTCCACACAGGATGGACGGATGGGCGGGGACAAACAGGAGGCGCTGGGGTCCACACAGGATGGGGGAATGGGCGGAGACAGACAGGAGGCGCTGGGGTCCACACAGCATGGGGGGATGGACGCGGACAAACAGGAGGTGTAAGGCTTCTGGGGTCTATGTGTTTGACCACTGGGCAGGTTCAGCCAAATGTGAGAGCTTCCTGTTTTAAGGGCAGTCATCCTGTCCGGGGTCCAGGGTTACCAGCTGAACCCCAGCTGTCCTCTTGCACCCTGCGTCACTGACTAGCTCTCCCTCCGTGCGCCCAGTGCCCTCCGCCACCCTGAAGGGGTAAAAACCCAGGGAGTCAGCCACTGCCTGTGGAGGGGACATTTGTTCTGCAGCTTGGCTCTGTGTGTGTGTGTTTGCATGTGTGCGCATGCGTGTGTGTGCATGTGTCTGTGTGCATGTGTGCGTGTGTATCTGTATCTGTGCGTGTGTGTGTATCTGTGTGTGTGTGTTTGCATGTGTGTCTGCGTGTGCATGTTTGTGTGCATGTGTGTGTGCATGTGTGCGTGTGTATCTGTATCTGTGCGTGTGTGTGTATCTGTGTGTGTGGCTCATGGCAGGAATCCAGAGAAACAGAGGAGAAATTAGTGAACAGATGGGAAGATATGAAAACTTGCAATTCTAGGTAAATTTTTAAAAACTCTATTGCCTACTCTGTGAGTGCCAGGCCCTGGGTGGCGAGGGGTGGGAGGTGGTGAAGGGGTGCCCATAGGCCACGCAGACCATGGCTTCACTGAACAACCGTGTGTTGCTGCGCTGTGTTTTCTCTTCCAGTTTCCAAGAAGCTGGCACCAATTCCACCCAAGGTCCCCTTTGGCCAGCCGGGCGCTGTGACTGAGCAGTCCACCGGCCAGCCGTGCCCGCTCAGCCTGTCTCCCACGCCACCGAGCACCCCGTCACCCTACGGACTGAGTTACCCTCCAGGGTACCCCCTGGCCTCGGGCCAGCTCTCCCCGGCTGCCGCAGCGCCCCCTCTGGCCTCTCCTTCCAGCTTCGTGAGCACTTTAACCAAATCGCGGCCCACCCCTAAGCCCCGGCAGAGACCCACCCTGCCGCCGCCTCAGCCCCCCACAGGGAGCCTCTCCGCCTCCAGTCCGCAGTCCACGGAGCACCCCGTGCTCGACGGCATGTCCCCCGGGGAAAGCATGTCTACAGGTAAGCAGGCCTCCGCGTCCTCAGATGTTCCCACGCACCTGAGCAAAACGAGTGGCGTGGGGCCGCGGCTGGCGCCCCTGCTGGCCGACACGCCCCTGTTTGACCGGCTGTGCTGATGCCGTATGTAGCTTCCAAGATGATCTCCTTAGATGCCCCCACAAGCCAGTGGGGAGCAGTTTGGGATGGATCCCCAATGTCCTGCAGAGGGGCTTCTTAAGGGGTTCTCCCACTCAAATGCCCGCGGCCCAGGGCTCTGCTTCGGTTCCTAATTTGGGGCCGGTGCCCCGAGGTCTTTGGAGCGGTCCTGGGGAGAGGCTGGCGGCAGGGGTGACTGTGGCTGCCTGGATAGCGCCTAAGTGTCAAAACAGGTACAAACCCAGGTCTTGAGAAAAGATGCGAAGAACCAAAGACATTTTTGGGTATTAAATAAGCCTAATTAGAAAAATGTATTTCTAGCAATATATATTTAGAAACGGGTCAGATTCAGAAAAGATGTGTGTCCCCTTGGTTCTTAGAGGAGCTAATTGGACAAGTCCACAATGGCTGAATTTAGTTTTGTTTTAAATTTAAATTCAAAGATGGAGCTTTTTCCTATTTCCCATCCCCACCCCCATCCCCACTCCCACCCCAGAAAAATGTGTAAGCGTGAAATCATAAGCACACACATTTTGAAACTTTTTTTTTTTTTATCCTCACCCAAGGATATTTTTCCAGTTTTTGTTCAGGTAGAGTGGGAGGGAGAGAGAGGAAGGGAGAGAGAGAGAGAAACATCGACGTGAAAGGGACACATCGAGTGGCTGCCACCCGCACGACCAACCAGGGCCGGGGACAAACTACAACCGAAGTACGTGCCCTTAGCGGAAACCAAACCCGGGTCTCTCCGGACCGCAGGCCGACGCTCTAACCGCTGAGCCAAACTGGCCAGGGCACATTTTGAAACTTTTTAAAAATATGTTTTTATTGATTTCAGAGAGAGGAAAGGAGAGGGAGAGAGAGAGAAACAGCCATGATGAGGGAAACATGGATTGGCTGCCTCCTGCATACCCCCTGGTGGGAATTGAGCCTGCAAGCCAGGCATGTGCCCTGACTGGGAGTCAAACCGGGGACCTCCTGGTGCATGGGTCCATGCTTCACCCCTGAGCCACACCAGCTGGGCAAGAAGAGGACATTTTGAAAGATCTGTCCAGACCTTGAGCATGGGATTAGAAGTCGGCATATTTGTGGCAACCACTGAAATCTGCCCAGCATTTTCCTCTGGCAGGGAAGCAGGTCACCTGTGGGGGAAGCAGGTCACGCGGGGGAAGCAGGTCACATGTCAGCGGAGTCTCAGACCAGAGACAGGCCCCGCTTCATAGGCAGAAGGGCTGAGCACATGCTGTAGCAGAAGGCAAGGCAACTGCAGATGGAAACCCCCCAACACACACACACTACACATCACACACACCACACAGATGTGCACACAGCCCAGGGCCACGCAGGGGGGTGCACAGCATCATCCTCACATCCTGCTGCAGAAGTGGTGGCCTTCCCTTGACTGGACAGCAGGGGGAGCCAGAGGGTGCAGCTCTGTGCTGCCAGTGGGAAGTCTAATCCAATGGAGGGCTGGGTGTGTGATGGGTCAGGAGGTTTAAACAGTGCGGGGAGCAGCCGTCTGGTTGCTTGTTTGGGGATATGATTAATGCTGAAGGTACAACTGCTGTCCTCTTCCCAGAGGCTTATAAATTAAGGAAATTCTTGACAGACGATAGAGAGCACCGAGTACCATTCCCCACCAGTGGTTCGTGGTATATGTGTGTCTTCGGTGAGCCCCAGTGGGAGGAGCAGAGGCCCACTGCCCTCGGGGCCCGTGGCCACACTCCAGAGCTTGTGGTCACCCGAGGAGTCTAGGGGACTGCCAACTGCTGCAGTTACCCCAAGGAGGGGACACAGGTAGTGTTGATTTGGGAAGCAACAGAATGAACTACGGCTCTCACTGAGGAGAAACTGAGATAACAGAACGAGGAGAAATTTGGGGGCAAATGTCGGCCACAGAAAATGCTGAGAGACAGGCGGTGCCCCCACAGCCAGGGCAGAACTGTAAGGACCCCTCCCCACGGCACCAGCTTCCCAGCGGCTGCCCTGTAGAGGGCGTGACGCCCGGCCCTGTCCTGTGTCCATGTTCTCTGGCAGCAGACTGTCCTGTCCTGGCACGTCCAGGCCTCGGAGCCGCAGCAGCCGCAGGAACGACCTGGTGCGGCCACCGGGCCGTGCACTCGGCATGGTTACTGTCGCGTTCTTGTTCTGTCGTGTTTCTTCCTCCCTCCGACCCTGTCGTTGTGTCCTTGCAGCTGTGTGACATGAGTGCCGCAGTGTCGGATACGTGTGAGGGGATGTTCAGGGTAAGCGGCCCCAGCCTCGCCCCGGCCCCGCCCGAGTCGGCCACGGCCTCTGCTTCGCACCCTGCATGTGGCTGCCGCCTGCATGGCCGCTTCCCGCCGCCCGGCTCAGCGGGCGCTGCAGGCCCTGAGCTCCTCTAGCTTTCTGGGATCACTGGCAGGTTTTTTTTTTTTTTTTTTTTTTTTCGTCTTTTTTTCTTGCTCTTAGGAGCTGGGGGAGAAAGCCAGGCAAAGAGGCTGAGCTCTTCTGCTCCCCGCCTGTTACCAGCCCCCTAGTCTAACGCCCCTCCCCCTCCCTGGGGTTTAGAATGGAAGGGATAACAGGCCTGTTCTTCACGTGACGTACCTTTGTCATTGGTGAAGGTGGCTGTGCCCAGGGTCCCGGGACAGTGGCTCACCTGCACCCTGGCTTAGGGACATGTTCGACCAAAGGCTGCCCAGGGGTGGGTGCAGCCTCCCCCCTGCAGGCTGCAGCCCGTCTCGTGTGACGGTGCATTAGGGGATCTCTGTTCTCAGACAGGGAGCCCAGCCGCCTTCCTCCAGGCTGACCGCTGGCGAATCCCAAGCAGCCCTAGTGTTAGAGTGCACACTGCACTCACTTTCCCAACTCGGTAAATATTTCGGGAACAGTAAGCCAGTGTCTGCCTGGTCTCCTGTAAAGAGCAGATGCTCAAAAGTAAAACCGAGGCAAGAACACGAAAGCGGCGAAGAAACCAACGAGGTGTTTGTGCCTCAGTAAGAAGGGGTTGCCTGAGCAAATCAGAGGAGGGCCCTCGGTGGCTGTCCCGAGAGCTGCAGGGATGGGCCCGTGCAGACAGGTCTAACACACGCGCCCCACTCCCCCAGGTCAGTGCGGCTTCTTCCCGTCAGGGCTCCCTGCGGGGACAACCAGGGTCACAGCCAAGCAGCTCCACTCTGACCTGTTCTGGGCTGGGCCTTCTTCCCATGCTCTGCCTCAGGACCCCTGGGCACAGGGAAGGTGAGAACTTGTCCAAGGTTATACTCCGTCTAGTGACAGGGATGGGATTTGGACTCCAAGTCAGAGGGCCTGTGTCTTACCCAACAGAGAATGCAGCCTGGAGGTGGGGTGGGCCCCAGGCCCGCAGTAGCCCCCATGGGGCACCCAGGGATGGCCCAGCAGTGAGGGCGGGACACAGGCAGCACCGAGGCCTGACCATCCTCTGGAGCAGGAGGAGCAGGAGCACTGGCTGAGCTGAGCCGCAGACCCTCTCTGCTCCAGCCCAGTGAAGACAGGCTGGAATGACATTTTGAGAACCAGGGGTTGCACTGAGAGAGGAAGTCCTTTGTTTGAGAACTTATGTGTTTGTATAGTGTCTTTTAGGACCCTGTCCAAATGTCTGTCTGTCTACTTGGTATGGCATTCTTTGGGCTGAATGTTTATTTTACGAAAAACAAAAACTAAGAAACCAATAAAAATCCCACCTCCCAGTTCTGGCCCAGGCTGCTCCCCTCCTAGGTTCGCTTCTTCAGTGCCCTGGAGGGCTGCTCCAGGCCCAGGTAGCCGGCCAGGCTAAGTGGAGGCAAAGCTGAGCAGGCCGGGAACAGGGTCGCACGGCTGAGGACAGAGGGCCCAGGGTCCTGGCTCTGGGCTCCCGTGAGCCTTCTGCAGCCCCCGGAGCAAGAGGCTACCCGCCCCTGCAGCACAGCTCCGGGGCCTCGTACCCATGTCTCCAGGACCTCGCACGCACCGCTCCGGGGCCTTGCATGCACCGCTCCGGGGCCTCGTACACGCGCCCGCTCTGCGGAGCTGCTGCATCACAGGACTCACCTCTGCCAGCTCAGGGTGCCCGACCCACAGACACCGAGCCCTTCATCTCAGGTCCATTTTCCTGATCATCCCCCAGGAACGATGACCTTTTAGTGCCCCCAAGGAGGCTGTACCCCTAAGTGAGCAGCTTCCTGAGGGCTGAGAGATGGGGTTTTCCTACAGTTGGGGAAAAAACTGTTCACTGCAACTCCTGCCTGGCTCCTGAGGGAACCCCTCCTGGCCCCTTCAGCCAACCGAAGGGTACTGCTTACAGCCTTAGAGGACGCCGTGAATCTCAGGGTTTTCCCACTGCCTGGTACCCCGTGCCTGCAGGCTTTAGAAAACAGTGCAACCCCGAAATCCCTGGACGCTGTGGCTGGGACGGCCCAGAGGCAGAGTGCGGCAGGCACCAGATGCTGTCCTAACTGCCCTTGAGCCGCCCCAGCCGGATCCGGACGCTGGTCCCACAGGCTGGCTTGGTAGAAGCAAGGGGCCCAACCCAGACTCGAAGCTGCAATGTAACGCTTCCCCCAGCCCCCAAACCGACTGGGCCCCCAGTGGCCGATCCGCTGCCGCTTCCTAACGCTGACTAGCTGCTCGCCATCGCGTCTCCTTAGCTGAGCCCCTTTTCAGTCACCTCTCTCTCTGCCAACTTCCAGATCTCGCCCACTTCGAAGTCCCCTCCATCCACGTAGAGCTTGGGTCGACGCTCCGCCTGAGCCCCCTGGAGCAGGTGCGGCGCCGCTCGGAGACGGGGAAGAGGGACTCGGAGGAGGAGTCTGAGAGCACCGCCCTTTGACACGCGTGTACGTACGCGGGCCCAGGAACACCGCGCAGAGCGCCCTGGGCCTGCCCGGTGTGCTCCGCGGGCTCTGCTCTAACTGCCAACGCAGGCTGGACTTCTGCAGAGAACTGTCCCCTCCGGCCGGAGCGGCAGACGTCGGTGGTGCAGATTTTGTTCGTTCCCCTCGGGTGGTGACTTTGGCCTTTTGTTTGATATTTGCCTTTTGACTTTGTGCCTATTTGACCCACTTTCAGCCTCCATGCCAAGCGCAGCCCTCTCCACCCAAGGGCTTCCTGTCGGGAGTGTGCTCTGCAGGGTGGGGTGTGGAGGAGGGTCGAGTCGTTGGGTGAGACCTGGGGCTGCCGCCTGTGCTGGTAGTGAAATCAAGTCCTCCCAGCGTCAGCCGAGTGGCCCCGGAAGGGCCGGGGCAGCGGGCCCTTTGCGTGCAGGTGCCAGAGCGGGAGTTCGGAGTTCGGGGACACTGGCCTGGTGCACAGGGGAGGCTGCCCTGAACCCTTGGGCTCTGAAGTAAATGGCTTAACACAAATCTGTTCACTTCCTAAGTTTTATTTTTCCACACTGTGGGAGTGAACACTCCCATTTCTACCTTATTGTTTCATACTCTGAATTTAAAGTGATGTTGGAGAGGTCTAGAGGTTCTAAAGATCCCTCCCCACCCCACCCCACCCCACCCCGGTAGCCTGGCAGTAACCCTACCCTCCGGGCGGAGGCGCTGTCTCACAGGTGCGTGGTGTCCAGGAGCCGGCCCCTCTGGGGCACAGGTGAATAGCAATAACTGTCACCCAAAGCAAGTAGCAGAAGGGAGACTGGCCCTTGGAGACACCGGCCAGCGCCAGGGGCCCTGCTGCGCCCACAGCGCCCACTCGCCCCGCCCACTCTCCGGAGGCCAGCGGAGCCCTGGGAGCCGGTCACACTTCGGGACGGAGAAGCATTCGGGTCATGCATGCGGAGTCAAACTTTACAAATTTACCCTTTTAAAATAGATGTGATATACCTATACATGATATATTTGTATATATGAAATTTCTCTATATTTGTTTAATTTGAGCCCTTCGATCTAAGCCAGTGTACAGGTGCACAATGAGAAATGTGCGTGCGTTACTGTTCCCACAGCGTGAAGTAGCTCCCCGCCTGGGGCTGACACTCGATGCTAAAGGCTTTGCTCACTTCCTGGCGAGGACGGTTCAGTACCCAATTTGCAATGGAGCCCAGGGGCTGAGAGTACCTTTAAACACATGTACAAATAGTTGTCAAAAGTAACCTTATTAAAATAGATTTATTACCCCTGAGCATGGCCTCTTGTTTACATTAAGAAACGTGAGGGTAATGGGACTCATTGTCAGGTGCTGCCCCCGGAGGAAGCCCTCGGCCTGCGTCTCTCCCATCACCCGAGTTGTAAAGTGTTTCTACATTTTCCTCGGTAGGGAGGATATACAAATGAAGACTAGGTTTATCTTTAAAAATATCCCCAGTTTTAAAGCACGAGCCTGTGTTGTTCAGTCTCCTAAGGAGCCAGCCTGACACGCTAGTTCTCAACACTGACGGGCGACGAGCGATTCTGTCCTCACTGCGCCAAGGACGGCCCGTCGCCTGTTCCTGTCGCTCCCTGGAACAGGAAGCCTGCATTTTCCAGAGCTACTGCCCAGGCCCAGCCGGCTGGCCCAGTGCGGGAAACCAGGGTGTCAGCCAGCACAGCTGACCTTCAGAAAACCAGGCCACAGAGCGACTCCCTGGGGACAGGCTCCAAGGTCCTCGCCACCATCAGAGCTGGCTTCCAGGACACACCTGGGTACCTGGCAGCAGGCAACACTGCACAGAGAGACTCCTGCTCAGAGGCAGCGCCAGGACGACACAGAACACCCGGATTCCGAACAGAATCTTTATTGTTCTGGGTCTTTCTTTGGAGACACTGTTCCTTGAGCCTTGGACACTCAGACTTGACATCCACGCCCGTGTTCGGGGCCACGGCCCAGCTCTGGTGTGCAGAGGGATAGTGTGGCTGGAGCAGGCCAGGTGTGCCCTCCTGCACTGACTTCTTTCAAGTCAGCTGGTCCTGAATCCCAGCCGTCCTGCCTTCGTCCCCTCGGCAGCTCCCGTGCACGGCTCTGCTAGGCACCGTCAGGGAGACGGCGAACGCCAGTCCTTGCCCGGGGCCCTCGCCAAGGCCCAGCTTCACACCCACCTGCTCCCGTGTGCCTCCCCGCCGAATGGTGCCCTCTGGCTCCCACCAAAGAGGACACACAGTGCCTGTGTGGGGTGCAGGACGTGAGCCTTCCGAGTTCAGGGTCACGCCTGGACCTGAATTCACTTTGCCCTGACCTTCTTGCTCTGTGGGCTCAGGGGACCCTCAGCACGGGCCCGTTTCTGCTGGAGCTCGCGGTCCTCAGGGCCGCCCACCGGCTCCCGGGAGAGGAGGGCCGCCCGCACCAGCCGCAGCTCCCTCTTCTCCCTGCGCTCCTCCATCTCCTCGATGTCGCCGGCAAACAGGGCTTTCAGCGGGGCCGTCAGCTTGGGCACCGTGGGGAAGTCCCTGAAGCAAATCTGGAAGGCAGGACGGAGGCCAAGGACACGCCTCAGAGGGCTGGCGGGGGCAGAGCCCGGTGGGGACAGCACGAGCTCACCCAGCAGCACAGAGCCCCTTCCCTGCCGCCCTGCAGTCAGCGGGCCACAGCTGGAGAGGGGACGGGAACACGGAAGGGCACGTGCTCCCGCAGCTGGCGAGGGTGGCGAGGGGAAGGGGCCTCAGAAATACCAGGCTTCTGACCCTGGAAATCAAGCTCCTCACAAACAAACTCAGCCCATGCCCAGGGCCGGGCTGGCTTCCCACCCCGAGGGCAGAGGACACCCAGCTCAGGCTGTGGTGAGTCTCGGACGATGTGGTGGTGGGAACAGACCGCGTCAGAGGCTCAGTGATTTCCAGCACCTGATGCTGGTCATGATAGGGTGATGGGTAGATGTCCTCCCACCAGGTGGCCCCGACTGTCCCCGGTGTCCCTGCCTCAACCCCACCCATGCGGCCCACCCACATGCGCACCTTCATGTGGTCGAAGGCAATCCCAACTTTCTCGTTGAAGTCAGGGCTGAAGAGGGGGATCTTGGCGTAGCGCTGGCTGAAGTGGTTCAGCATGATGAGCTCGGCGTTCATCCGCGTGCCCACGCCAATCGCCTGGGAGGTAGTGCTGCAACAGAGGGTCAGTCGGGCTGAGGGCTGCCGAGGGCCCTGCCCCGAGCCCACTGCCCTAGAAATCCCCACCAGCTTGTTTCTAACTCCTAAAGCTGTGCTCCCCCGGAACCCTGCACAAGTAAAGGCGGAGAGGCCCAGAAACAAGCTCCTGCCCGGTCAGAAGCCCCTCAGCATTTTGGTGGCAAGCAGGCCTGCTGTGTGTCCCTGGAGGACAGTCTTTCTAGTCAAGCTGAGGGGAGGCTGCTCAGTGTCATGGGGGGGGGGGTGACCAGGGCTTGCAGCTACCTGTGTGTCTTTTCCACGGCTTCCTCTTCTAGGCCGTCTTCCAGGGTGGCCTCATGAATCAAGAGGGTAGCGTCTCTCCCTTGAAAGTGAGCACAGGCGTCCAGCAGAGCCCTGAGCTGGAGAAGCACTCAGGCCCGGACTCCTGGCCAGAACACTCTCCCCAACCCTGTGCATGTCTGCAGGTCAGGATCACAGCCAGAGGTCGGGCAGGCCCAGCACCTGCTGCCTGTACTCACCCATCTGGACCAGAGCCTCGCAGGGCATGGTGTCCCCCGAGTAGATCAGTTTCCAGCCGGACGTGTGGACCAGCGCGCAGCCGAAGGCATGCTTGCAGTGCCGCACCAGGCAGGTCTGAAACTGGGGAGCAGGGGACAGCTGAAGCTGTGCTCCCCCCGCCCCCCGCCCCCACCACCGGCCGCTGCCCTCGTACCTCTTCTAAGTCACAGATTCTCAGCAGCGAACTAATCAACTTTTCAACTGTGGGACTGGAGACCTCAGCTCCTTTCTGAAGGCATTTGGCAGGGATCACACTGTGAGAAATAAAACATTTAAAAGAATTTAACTGGAATCAGAGTTTAAGTCTCCAGCTAGAAAGTCCCAAAATCATTAAAAAGAGAGTTTAAATCGCAGTCACTAGGACGAGGAAAGGTAGTTGCTTAGAAAGACCAAACCCGAACCCTCAGGCCACTGAAAGAACCTAGCGGCTGAGCTGCGCACAGCGAAGCCCGTGGTGGACTCCGGGCAGGCGGACTCCCTCCCGCGAGGCGCGGACAGGGCCAACCCGCCTCTGGCCCACTGGTGGGGACAGTCTCTGCTTGCCACCACTCGGGGGCTTGGCCTGCAGCTGCTTTTTGAAGAAGTGTTGGCAAAAGTGTAGAAACTAGCCCAGGCCAGTGTGGCTCAGTGGTCAGAACACTGGCCCTCAGACCAGTCTCAGGTTTGATCCCTGGCTCATCGATGTTTCTCTCCGCCCCGCCCTTCCAGTCTAGGTAAAAATCAGTGGGAAAATAGCTTCAGGCGAGGCTTAAGGTAAACGGTGTAGACACTATAACAGACCAGAAATGAGGCTGCGAGGAAATGCATCCGAGAAAACAGACATGTGAGTGAGAACCAGCTAGTGGTTCCTGCCCTTGAGTCAAAGCCTTTGTCCCCTGCTTCTGCCACCTGGGGCCACTCGAGGGAAAGGTCACTGGGGAACGCCGTGAGCTGCCTCAGGTCCACCGTGAGCTACAGAGGGGACGGCGACAGCCCGCGGGCGGCAGCCTGGAGGCTCACCTGACGTGATGCAGGAGCTGCTGACACTGGTTGTGGTACTGCTGGAGCCAGGCCTTGAGCTGGGTGGGGGCGACCACCAGCAAAGGGTGGAAGGGCTTTCCCAGGGATGCCTGAAACACCGGAATCGGTGTGGAATCAACAGCGGACATCGCGATGCACCATGGGGAGCGGCAGGAGCTACAGCTCCTCATCGTGTACAATCCAAGCAAATGCAAAACAGCAATACAAGCAAGCACCACACTCACCAAAGCTCGTTCTCTCTGCAGCAGGATATTTAACAAGCCCTGGGAAGGAGAAAGGAGATGCGGATGAGATGTGTGCAAACTCGACCCCACCTTGGGGCCCCAGGGCCCTCGTCCTGCAGGACTTCCTCAAACACTGCTCGGTCGGGAGTGGGCGTGTGCTGAACCAGGACCAGAAGCGTCACAGGCAGCGTGGTCAAAAAGGCCAGGCAGTGTCTGGGGACCCAGCCCGCCCCTCTGGCTGTGGTCTCCTTGGAGCAGGCCGTGTGGGAAGGCAATGTTCAAGACAAGTGGGGTAAAGGCGAGACCCCTGCTACCCAAGAGCAAAGCCAACAGAAAAACAAGACCTTCTTATGGGCAGAATTATTGTCTAGATTTTGTAAAAGACCAACAACTCACGAGAGATGAAAAACCAAAGCTTTGGGCGAGTTGGGACTAGGTCAGCTCGTGGCCCCACAGGCACTCACCGTGTGGTGGTCCGCGTGCAGGTGGGACACGAACACAGCAGCGAGGGTGCCCAGGACCCTGTCCACGTCGTCTCCGAAGTGACGGCACAGCTGCCCGAACGTGCCCTCACCACAGTCCAGCAGCAAGGACTTGTCGGAGCTGCGGAGGAGCGAGACACAGGTCGCTGAGGAAGGCCTGGCCACTCAGGGCTGTGACCAGAGGGCAGAGCCGCAAGCAGCCAGGGCCCTCTGTCTCCCATGACCCCGTGCTGCTTCTCGGGCACCTTCTACAAACATGAAGGCAAGTGAACGTCTCCTCCTGGTGCAGGAGGACTGCACGGAGCCCTGACCCAGAGAAGGTGAAGTGCCGTGGCCGGGGGCCCAGCTGGCTGAACACCGCCCTGTGCACCAACGTTCCGGGCTCAATTCCCAGTCAGGGCACACACTTAGACTGTGATTTGATTCCCCATCGGGGCACGTACCAGAGGCACTGATGGATGTCTCTCTCTCTCCTTCCTCTCTCTAAGATCACTAAACACATCATGGGTGAGGATTGACTATGTATAGTATACAGCCATACAAATGTTGGGCATAAAGAATAATGCCCACGTGGAATGGGAGGGAAAACATGTAGTGACCCTGACAGCGAATCCTGACCGCTCAGAGGGAGTGCGGGGCACCCACGGCGACAGCACCAGCGGCGGGCGCTGCACACAGGAGAGCTGGCTGTCGCACCCCCTCCGCGGCCGTTCTTGTTTTCTCAGCCACGTCCTCCCACCCTCCCGGCTGCTGGTGTGGGACAGGCCGCAGGGGTCCCCCAGGAACCGGTTAGTGCAGACTCCCAGCCACCAGCTGGGCTCCGGGTCTCAGGTGGGACCCGGAGCTTCGGCTCCATGTGCTCGGCTGGCTACGTGGAGGGGCGGTGGGCTCGGAACGTGCGTCCAGGTGAGAAGGCGGGTCTGCTGCAGGCCTTCCCCTCCCCTGGGAGAGCCAGGAGACTAGGACAGTGGCCCCCACTTTTCAGAGGAACACCTCGGCGGAGACACTGCTTTCTGGAGATGAAGTGGAGTGGGGAGCAAGGCAGAGGCAGCACCTTCGGGTCAGCCCCGGCTGCTCCACGGGTCACTGCCTGCCCACGCCACTGCCCTGCCTCTCCTGCATTCCTGGGTGCATGAAAAATACGCCAATGTGCGTATTTGATACGAGGGTGCATCTTATCATTGTTATGTACATCTGTAGTAATTGGTTATTTATCATCTACCACTAACATCAGAGCAAAATTTTATATATATATATACACACATACATATATATATATATATATATATATTTTTTTTTTTTCCTTTACTGATTCTAGAGAGAGAGAAAGGGGGAGAGAGAGAAACATCGATGAGAGAGAACATCGACTGGCCACCTCCCACATGCCCTCCACGGGGTCTGGGCCCACAACCTGCGCATGAGCCCTGACCAGGAATCAAACCGGTGACCTCTTGCTGCATGGATTGATGCTCAACCAGTGAGCCACACCAGCCGGGCTCAGAGCAAAATTTTAAAACCTGGTACTTCAGTCTCACTTCTTTTCCATATACACCATAAACATTTCAGAGTAACCCTGATTGATCTCTCTGCAGAGAAATGACACCAGGCAAACCCAAGAAAATCAACTAAAACCCATCCAGTTGAAGAGCTGAACACAAGACAAAGGCACCAGCCAAAGGCTGTCTCAGCCAGCAGGGGGCCTAGCTGGGGGACAATGCACTGCCAGGACTGAGACACCAACTCACATTTGCATTGGTCACTTCCCAGCCAAGCAACCTCTCTGAGCATCAGCTGACTCATCAATGAAATGGGTAGTCACTACTTCATAGGATTAATGTGAAAATTGAAATAATGTCTTAGCAAGGTACATGGTATATAGTAGAATCAGCTATTTTTATCAAAAGACATATGGGTGAGACTGCACTGACGCCCAGAAGTCTCCGTGAGTCGCTGAGGCTGAGTGCAGGAAGGCCCAGGCTCCCCTCAGGAGCACTCTGGCCACGGTGGCACGCTGACATGGCTTTAGACTGTTGCATTTTCAGCTTAGCTTGGTGGGTGGAGCAGAACTTTTGTTTAGAAAATCAGCATGCTCCTTGATGGATGGGTGTTTACTAGGAAACCAATACCTGATGTTGACAAGTGTGGCGCTGACATTTCGAATCTTCATCGGGATGGCAGACCCTGTTCCCAGGAAGATGATTTCTGGATACTGGCTTTTATTATCTATGGAAAAATACATACAAAGCGTTCATTTGTTCAGGGCAAATGTGAGCCAGCACTGAGCCCTCACGTGAGTAAAGTAAGTCCAGCTTCCAGGAGGGGCTGGGGGTCCACCTGGCAATGCCCCTGTGCAAGGGTCCCAGCGAGAGGGGTCACAGGCTGTTTGTGGGCAAAGGGCTGTCTGTCTGAAAGGTGGAGCAAATGAATTCCACAGCCCTTTCTTCAAAAGAACTGCTATGTCTTTTAAATTACAAAGGGAACTTGTTTGCCCTTAGAATCCGTGTTCACCTCAAAGGGCGGGTATCATCTGGCATCCAGCTCTTACCACCACTAACCCTCTCCTGTGTGTGCCCACACAGCCCTGCAACACCCTACTTCCTGGGGATCTAAATGGGCTCAGGGGGGCCAGCTCTGCAGGAAGAGGCAGGGCCTGGAATCCGGGGAGACCTGCCGATTCTGCAGCCTGTGCCCTTCCAGCGCCCACCTGGCAGGCCCACGGCACACAAACCAGAGATCCCGTCACAAACCCAAAGGCAAGGAAGGCCAGGGACCCAGTATTCCCCAAACACCCAGGAGGCTATGGCGAGAGCTCGCTGCCTGGGGCTGAGCAGATCAACCCCAAACCCGCCTTCGACTCCAGCCTTCTCTACTCCTACCATTAGTTGGAAAGACACAGGAAAACCCACTGGAGCCGAGATCACAACGTCCCCCACCACTCGTCCTCACGGGGCAATGAAAGCCCAGCAAGATGAGTGCCGCGGCCAGAATCTTCGGCGGGCCCTTATTAGCAAAGCCAGGACTAGATCCCAATGTGGCCAAGTCCCGGTCAGAGTTCTGTCCAGCGCCTCCCAGGGTGTCCGGACACTGCACTCGGCACGAGCCTCGGGAAGATGCCTGTGTGCCATCCCGGAGCAGTCCCCTTCACCTGGCAGGCAGGGGCAGGCGCCAGTGTTTGCAGACAGAAAGGACAGAAGCAGGTACGCAAACAACCCAGGCAGGGTGAGCTGTGCCGACTCGACACAGTGCTCCGGAAACACCTGCAGGAGGCAGAGGCCAGGGGAGAAAGGCTGTCCCGGCCCCTCGCTCACCTGCTGCGACGGGGACGTCCGTTGCAGTCTTCCTGTATTCCTGCACGCTCTCTTGGAAATTGGGGAGCTCCAGGGCCTCGGCTATGAATTCATCAGAATTGCAAGTAATAAGGGCATCCCTGCAAAGAGCAAAGATTTCAGATGACCAGAGGGGTGTGGCCGCCAACAGCAGTGTGGAGATCCAAAGTCAATTTGTGGAGACAATGTGTAAAAAGTTGTTTCAGATCAAGACTGAAGACCAAGAGGCTGAGTTTGGGCAAGAGTGTTCTGCCCCGAGGCCCCTTTCTTAGCTGAGTGGGGTCTCAGAGTGAGCTCTGAGCAGCTCTAGCTCCTCTAACACCTCCCACTCAGAGCCTGACAACCCTGGCACTCCTGGCACTGGGGGAGGGGCGGCCAGGGCCCCGTGCAGCATCCCCGCCCTCCACTCAGGGGCTGCTCGGGCATCTCAAGTCCCCTGGGTTTGGGGAAAGGAGGGGAGCAGGGAAAAGCACCCCAGCTGAGCGCAGCCCAAGAACAGAGCCTCTCAAGCTAATGTGCACACAACCCATCTCCTTCAAACCTCACCAAACTCAGGGTCTGACTCACTGGCTCTGGGGGGCCTGAGACCCTGCATTTCTTGCAGCCACCAGACCCTGACAGCCTTGGACCAGTGGCTCTTCACCTGACTGAGCACCGAGATCACCTGGAGCTCAGGAAGGGAGTCTTAGGCCTAATCTCAAGATTTTAGTCCAGCAGGTTCGGGAATTACATTTCCACAGGTGGCAGGTGAGTCTGGGGATGGGCTACAGGAACTGCCTCTGCCGACAACCCCTAGACCTGCCCGAGGGCCCGCCGTGCTGCCGCAGCCTCCCCACCGCAGCAGCCAGCAGCCAGCAGCTCGATCCCGAGCAGGTCTGCTCCCACAGACTACGGGACGGCAGGGCCTCAGCCGTTCCAGATGCAGACCTCAAACATGAAAGACGTGGGGCCCAGCGCTTCTCCCACCTCCGATCGGGGGGGAGCCCGGAGAGCCTTTCAACACCGACCCAGCCACCCCTCGTCCAAGAACTACCCGGGAACAGAGGTCCACTCAAGGACTGATGTACAAGACATTTACTGTTCCAGTAAAACAGCAAAAACCAGGCGGCGGGATGGAGAGGAGGGTGTCTAGGGGGTAAAAGGAGAAACAACTGTAACAAAAATAAATAAAAATTGGAGAAAATAAAATAAAGAAAGCGGCAAAAACTGGAAATGTATCAAATTAGCAAACGCCCCATCTGGAATGACAGCGAGACCTCTGGTGAAGACTATACAATGACACAGGAAAGACTGTATGATACAGCATCACGTAACATATATATATATATGTTATACTATATATGTTATACTATATATGTTATACTATATATGTTATATATATATGTTATATATATATATATATACTACTTCCACAGGCACTTTTCTAACATCCCCACACATTCAAAGTTAAAAAACAACATGTTAACAATCATCCTCTCATCTAGGGTGAGGGGTTATGGGGACTGACGTTCTCCCCCGCACACCTCGTATTCCCCACACTGCGAACCGTGAACACGGATCACTGCCGAGGACAACCACTGGGCCTCCCCCTAGCAGCCCCAGGCAGCTTGTTCAGCAGATGGATGTGTGTTGGGATACTGCCACACATCCACCCACGACTGTCACTTGTCCGTGGTGCAGTAGCAGCCGAGCCGTTCTTTGTGGTTTGCAAACCCTGAAATATTTACGCCCTGGCCCTTCCCAAACAGCCACCACAGGCTCGGAATCACAGACCTCTGCCACTCTCTCCGGGGACGGAGCTGGTACTTGAGGAGGCATTCACCGCGGACGGTGGGCACAGAGAAGGCAGCACCTTCTTCCTGAAACAGAAGAAAACACAGCCCCTGAAGAGAGAGACAAGGGCAGGGGGCAGGGCAACAGAGGCTGTTCTGTGACCGTACCTTACAGCGGAGGCTGGCGAGCGGGGGGAAGATGTCGGGGTGGATGAGGTTGAGCTGTGTCTGGATCTTGTGGCTACGGAGGTTGTGCACTGACGTACAATTCTCGTTCAGGATCAGGTGCTGGGTGTCAGGCCCGAACCTAGGATGACACAGATGGTGCTTCCACACGCCCGGGAGGGGCCTCTGTGCAGGGGGTGAGGGCGATGACGCAGACCAAGTGTCCAAAGAGGGAGGGGCTTGTCCAGAAACAGTTACTAAATGACCAGACACAGTCCTGATTCTTCTGTCACCATGTCCAGTCTTTCCCCAAGCTCAAACCAGCAAAAATCAAATACTAGAAAAGTGAGTGTTCAGAGCCTGCAGACTGGAGACCAAGTGCAGTGCAGGATGAGAGAAAAAGCCCAGAGGAAGAGATAAGACATGTTTAGACTCAAACCCTAAAGGAACAGAGGGCGAGGGCTGAGGAGAGAGCCCAGGGCTGACAAGGGAAGATGCAGGGACTCCGGGACGACAGCACGGGCAGGCCGACCGGCCCTGGCGTCGCTCTGCACCGGGAATGCAGAGTTCCTGCCAGCTGCCGGGCCCCGCCGGTGAAGCCAACAGGAGAATGGAGTCTCTCCTAGTTACTACCTTGTGGTAGACCATCTGCTTCCCAGATTGTCAGGAGGGTTAAAGAAAATAAAACAAAATGTAGACTATTTAACATCCTGCCTCTCATGGGTGTTTAATAAACTGAAGCTCTTATTTTAAACTCCCAGCTCTCTTCTTCAGGCTACACGCATGGAACTGTCCGCAAAAAGGCAGTGTGTTCAGACACCGAGTGTAGCGGGAGCGGCTGGTACAGGGAGCCCACACGCGGGACCCGTGCACACTGTGCCACCTAGTGGCGACACTTCCCAGAGGGAGACAGGTGGCGGCTCTCAGAATCCGGGGACAGCAGGGTCCCTGCGAAGTCCAGGCAGGCAGGAGGTAAGGGTGGGAGGCGCTCAGAAGAGTGAGGGAGCAGGGGGCGCGGGGCCCTGGGCTGGCCTTACCTCTCCATCCACTGCTGGTATCTGCCGTCGGCAAGCACACACTCCGGGGCCATGTGCACCACCAGGGCCACGGGGGCATCGGCACTCCCTTGGTACCTGGGAGGGAGGGAGGGTGGGGCTCTGCTCTATAAAATGACACAGCCTCAAAGCACGCACAGGGGGTGGAGGGTGGCACTTGGCTCTCGGGGACTGCAGTGAGCCCACAGCCTTCACGTCCAGTCTGGGCTGTCCCCAGCTGCACCCAGAGGTGCCTGAGCACTGACTCTTTGTGCCAAGCTCTGGGCCTACCCTAGACTTAGAACTCTAACTGGACATTAACTTCCTAGTCTGCAAAGGTCTCTGCTTTTTCATCTTTTCTAATTTCACTTCAAGGCTGCATATCCCACAAAATGCACCAATCGCCGTGAAGTTCTGCGCAGGACTGAGCCTGCACAGGAGACTGCCTTGGCCTTTCAAGTCCAGGGAGTTTTCCCAGAGACCCGCCCCAGGCCAGGACCCTGTCCGTGCTGCCGGGCTTTGTGAGCCGAGTGTCGGCTCTCACCCCTCACACCCCAGGACCCAGATTACCTCTGGAGGGCAGCATTCTCACAGATGGGTTGGATGAATCCTTTGTCTGGACATTCGATCACAACAAAAACAAGACTGGGATCCGGAGGAGTACAGATCTCTTCAGGCAAAATCTGCAAAATCGGGGGGTCGTGATGCTCCCCGGCGCAGTCAGCCAGCAAGCACACCCGCCTCCCACCGTCCACTGCGAGGTCGCACAGCCCTCCTGAGCAAGCACAGCGCTGACGTGCGAGCACCGCTCACACCTTCCTGCTCCCTCTGACCAGCAGAGGGCATTTCAAACCTGCACGGTTCTCAGGTATGTGGTCACTGGTCTTAAAATCCTTAGATGCCAGAGACATCCTGGTAAAGAACGTGGTGGCATTCTTCTGTGCCAGGGACCGAAAGTCCATCCTTTAGGGGTTTTCCCTGGGCTCGAGTACAAGGGAAAGCACCCATCCTATTGGGAAGAGGACCCCCAGATCCAGAAGACTACAGAAATGCCCCCAAGGCAGCCAGTGCTGATAGGCAGGACAAGTATAAACAAGAGACCTCACTTTATTGCTTAGCCAAGTGATGAAATCCAAGCTGTTTCACTTCCCTCAGACGGGGTGTCTGTAGGGCCTGAACCGGACAGTGACCCTGTCCAATGCTCCAGGCCCTACTCGTCACTGCTGAGAAATCGTGAACATGGGGCATCGCACCTCTCTTCCCTCGAAGGTGACACTCTTCCCGTCCTTGACAGCAGCGATGATGGGGGCGATGGCAGCCGTCCCACTGAAACGGAGACGCTCTGTGAGACGAGGGCCTCACCACCGAAAGTGGGCCCACCAGGCCCCAACGGCGTGTTCCCCGACACTCACACTGGGAGCCCCAACTCTTTGGCCCTGAGCACCAGGAAGTTTCCTTTCTTCAAGTGAAGCTGCAATGACAAGACCGTAATGGACTTTCAGTGACGAATGAAGAAGCTTGGCTTTCATCAATTTTCTCATAAGTGCATCTTTCTGGTTTTAATTTTTAATTATGGTTATTTTCTTACAACTCATTAAACTGCAGGTTAGGTTATTGCTTTCGGATAAAGTATATTATATTCCGAAGAAGTCATTTATTTTTAAACACTTCAGTAATAAAAACCGAACGATTTAAAAACATAGTGCCTTCTTTCCCAACATTAATTCCCTATTAATTTAGTAAAATGTAACCCATTTCCACAGCAAATAAAAAGTCTCCTTCAAGTGTCCTTGAGGAGAAACAATGCTGTTTTATCACCCTGCACGCGCCAATTACTAGCTAAAGGAATGCCCCCGGAACACTAACAGAAACAACCACACAAGTCACTGTGCAACCCAGTATTCCATGATGGTGACCGGGCAATAAAAGTGCAGACAGGTTTCTCCTCCGTTTTTCACACATTTGACAATATAATGCTGTTGCTTTTATACTGGAGAAAAGTTGCAATAAAAGATTTCCTATGTGCTGATACTATAATAGAGGGAAAACAACAATCCCATCACGAAACCTCAGAGCCATCACTCTGCACTTAAAAATCTGGCCAAACATTTTGGGATCTACATATTTCACACATAATAAAAAATTTTTAAAAAGGCAGAAATGGCATAAAATGTCAAGTCTTTGGGTATTGAACTATTTGATTTTTCCTTTTCTATTTTTAATCTCCTAAAGGACCCATTTGCAGAAAACTACAGGTCATTGAAAAAAGAAATAGAGGAAGATATAAAAAAGTAGAAGCACATACCCTGTTCATGGATTGGAAGAATTAACATAATTAAAATGTCCATACTACCCAAAGCAATCTATAGATTCAATGAAATCCCCATCAAAATACCAACGACATATTTCATAGAACTAGAACAAATACTTCAAAAGTTCATATGGAACCAAAAAAGACCCCAAATAGCCACAGCAATCTTGAAAAAGAAGAACAAAGTAGGTGGGATCACAATACCAGATATCAGGTTATACTACAAAGCGACTGTAACCAAAACAGCCTGGTACTGGCACAAGAACAGGCATATAGACCAGTGGAACAGAACTGAAATCCCAGAAATGGACCCAAGGCAATACGCTCAATTAATATTTGACAAAGGTGGCAAGAGCATACAGTGGAGTAAAGACAGCCTCTTTAATAAATGGTGTTGGGAAAATTGGACAGCTACATGCAAAAAAATGAAACTAGACCATCAACTTATACCATACACAAAAATAAACTCAAAATGGATATTTTTAATCTTTTTGTTCAATGTTTTCATTGATTTATTTTTCTATTTATTTTTTATTTTTATTTTTTGAGAGAGAGGGAGGAAAGAATAGGGAAAGAGAGAGAAACATCGATTGGTTGCCTCCTGTATGCACCCCAACCAGGGACCGAACCTAAAACCTGGCATGTGCCCTGACTGGGAATCGAACCCACCACCGTTCAGTGAACTGAGCAACATCGGCCAGGGCTCTTCTTTAAATCTTTTTTTTTTATCCTCACCTGAGGACATTTTTTCATTTTTTGTTCAGATAGAGTGAGAGGGAGAGAGAGGAAGAGAGAGAGAGTGAAACATCAACGTGAAAGGGACACATCGAGTGGTTGCCACCCACACGACCCAACCAGGGCCAGTTACAAACTGCAACCAAAGTACGTGCCCTTATCGGGAACTGAACCCGGGTCTCTCCAGACCGCAGGCCGATGCTCTAACCACTGAACCAAACCGGCCAGGGCTTCTTTAAATCTTTATATGAACTACTTGCATTTTCTTTTGACTTCCTAAAGTTAAGAAATGATGCTTAGGGCAAAGTCTCCAATTTGGATCCTAAGTCTTATTAGGATTCTAGAATTTTCCGTCTTCAAAAACACTACCCGAGGGGAAGGATAACAACATAAGTGTGTGCAGGTAACAGAAAGATGAGAGAACTAAGATGACAGCTTTAGACAACGATGCTAACCAGCACTGTGGTGCCCACTGTGCAGAGCCAGTGGGTTTCAGGGTGAAAACAGAGCATTTCGAACGTGGAACAGGAACTTGCAGCCCTCAGGCTGGCAACACCCATCTCCCTCCCATGGGCTGAGCCGCACCCTCGGAGAGCTGTTCCTGCCTAAGGAGTGCGGTGCTTGCAAGGCTGGGGAAGGGGGAGCAGAATGCGAGCCCACTGAGCCCCGCGCAGGCACACAGCTGCCTGGAGCAGAGCTCTCACGCCAGGCCCTCTACACCCAGGGCCTCTCTTCTCCGACCTCCCGTGACTTGAACTAGCTCAGCTTTACTGCCTTCCAAACCCTCAACAGAGAAACAGCGCTAGTCCGATGCGGGAAAGGGCTATGGGCTGACCAGGGGCACAGCGCTCAGCAGCGGCAGCAGACAGCCAGGCAGGAGGCAGAAGCCAAAGCAGCAGCCGGCGGCTCTTAGTGTCAGGACCCTGGCTCCCAGGACAGCTGCCGGCGCCCAGCGTGACTGCCAGAGTGGATGGCGTCACCCCACCATTTGGAACACCTCTCATAGTGCCCAACATAATCTACTTAGAAAGGCAAGAAGGAACTAACACAACTTAATAATCACCATGTAAACAACTTTTAAACTATTATTTTGCTGCCTAAACACTCAGAAACACACAAGTAATGAGCCTATTGGCAGTAGTACTTAACTTTTATAAAAATAACAATTATTCAAATAAATTAATAAGTGATACTGACAATGATCTTTCAACTAATAACTAATATTACTATTGACCTTTCATAATTATTCTCACTTGTTAGAATTTGGATGAAAATCACAATATATTTTAAAATCAATATTACTTCTTTAAAAAAAGAATCAAAGCCCTAAAGGACTTACTGCACATTAGACAAAAGTGTTTGTTGCAGATTATAATAAAATTTTAAGGCAAAGTGATATTAAAAAGTGGCCATTAGCCCTAGCCGGTTTGGCTCAGCGGTTAGAGCGCCAGCCTGCGGTCCTGAGAGACCCGGGTTCGGTTCCCGCTAAGGGCATGTACCTTGGTTGCAGTTTGTCCCCGGCTCTGGTCAGTCGTGCGGGTGGCAGCTGCTCGATGTGTCCCTTCACATCGATGTTTCTCTCTCTCTCTCTGTTCCTCTCTCTCCCTCCCACTCTACCTGAACAAAAAATGGAAAAATGTCCTCGGGTGAGGATAAAAAAAAAAAAAAAAAAGTGGCCATTAGTAAGATCTGAAAAACACCTTATTGTAATATTTTCTTAGCATATGACCAACTTCAGATTTGCAGATGAGGCCTTTCTTTGTGGATGCTAGCTAATGTTAAATCAGTCCCGATGTTAGGAGTTAAATTATACAAACTAAAACAGAGCTGAAGGAGAAAAGAATTTCTGGTAGTCCCAATGTGAACAAGTTGAAAGTATGTAACGAAACAGGTGGTATATTGGGAAGTACAGGGTATCTGTGTTTCATCTTGTCACAGGCAACTTCGGAGGTGCTACCGGGAACTACTGGGAAAGTGCTAATTCAAGGTCGCCACGCTCACTTAAAGCCCACCGGACAGGTGCTTACCTTACAGACGAAAGCTACGACCAAGGAGGGGTCCCTGCCACCCTTTCTCTGGCTAACACCTGCGAAAAAAACAAATCTGATTATAACGAATGTGAAGGTTTATAGGCTTCACAGGTGGATGATCATCTGATACCTAGTTTTTCACACAAAATAAATGTAACCCTTCCAACACGAAGGCTGAAGAAAGGACTGGTATAGTTTCAATCAGAACTTTTGCTTTTCCTACTCACGCTGAAATCCGAGTAAGTGAAAAATGCAAAACTCCAACCAGAAAAACTTTAGAATGGCAAGTGAAATGTATAAAAATGACACATTTACCTAGGAGTGTAGATGTGAGAAAAAACAAGTTGCAAGCTGCTTTATAAACAAGTATAAAAATACGTGAAATAACACAAAAGCTAAGAGGCCTGCAAAGGAAGTCTGGGTGTCAGTCTTCACCCGTGCCATCCGAGAAAGGACGCTTACAGGGTGGGCCTCTCCTCGGCCGTCAGACAGCACAAGCTCAGGGCAGCAGGGGAACTTGCCAAGCTTTGCCCGACAGTGGACAGCAGAACCCTTAAGCAGGTCGAGTTTTCTGAAACATCTGCTCTCAGAATTTTAAGTTTTTCCAGGAGGCTGTCGGTCTGACAGAAAAGGTGCAGACCCGCTCATGGACACGACTATCTGTCAGCTCAGCAGTTACAGTTTCTGCATTCATGAAAAATTAATTTGCAGTAATGTCGAATGAATAAAAACCATAAAAGCCTCTGAACAATTCGATTTGCCTCGGGCACGCTGAGGGCTGCGGACCAGCACTGCCGGGTTTACGGCCTTCTCGGTCTCCCACAGGTTAGGTCCTATCGTGCAAGAATACGATAAGGATTCTCATTTACAGCAATGGATTAAGAAAACAGTTCTCCCCCAGCCGGTGTGGCTCAGTGGATTGAGCGCCATCCCATGAGAGGTCCTGGTTCGATTCCTGGTCAGGGCACATGCCCCGGTTGTGGGCTCGATCCCCAGTAGGGGGTGTGCAGGAGGCAGCCCATCAATGTTTCTCTCACACTGATGTTTTTCTCTCTCTCTCCCCCTTCCTCTTTCTCTTAAAAAAAAAATCAATAAAAACATTTAAAAAATAAAACAGTTCTCTTGACAGTGTACTGTTCTGTTTAATTAGCATTACCATCTGGAAAGTGCTGATCATTTTCAGATGATGCAGAGTCTGAAGACTGCTCTGGACTGAACCTTTCTGGGCTCTGCGATGGCTGGTGATTTCCAAACTTCTGTTCACCTGGTTAGTACAGGAAAACAATCAAATTACACACCATGCAAGGTGAGCTCCCAGCCGGAGGCTGGCTATCACATGTGGGAACAGAGCACGCCCATTAGGGCAGCGGGCTTTTTCCTACAGCGGTCACTAGCTAGTCACCTCCCCACCTGGTCGGTGGGCCGGGGCCACATTTTCATCATTCTCACCTTTACGTTTCTGCCAGCTCAGAGCCTTGGCTACAGTAGGAACTCACAGGGTTTGTGAACTAGAAAGCATGCAGGGAGCAGGCTAGTTTACTCATTATCATCCCTCTCAATAAACAGACGTAGGCCCAAAGTTACCCATCTACCTGAGAAGGAGCATAATTTTGCAGTCAGTTAAATCTCAAGGCCAAGGAAATAAAAAGCTGCTCTAGGAAGCTGGTCCCACAGAAGCCTGCATCTCCCCACGCGGAGCATCGTCCCCTCAGAGCTGGCTGTGCGCTGGGAAACGCCAGCGAGCTAAACAAGTCCACACTGGTCACGCAAGACACGTCCAAGTGAACTGCTCCATGCCTGGGAGGGACAAACAGGGTGCTACACAGGAACAGCCGAGGAACACAAATCGGGCTGGGGTTGGCACAGGAGGGGTCAGGACAGGGAAGCCATCCAAGCGGGAGTGAGCCAGGCAAGGAGGTGGGATCAGAGCAGCTGTCTGGGGGGCCTGTGAGCACTGTGCCTTTGCTGGAGGCCCCTTGCCTCCCTCCCTTCCTCCACCCATGGGCCAGTGCAATCCTGTCTCCCTGTCCAGTCCTGGCCTTCTCTGGCCTTTGTTGGGGACTCTCATCTGTACCCTTCAGCATGTGGCAATGGCAAGCATACACTAGTTAGCAATGTTCAGGAAATGTCCTGCCGACTCTGAATCCTCCCGGCTGTCAGTAACACCTGACATGCAGTGTGTGTAGCCAGACTCAGGAAGGACACTGACGTGGCAGCGCCTGGCGTGCACACTGTCCCTCTCCAGGCCAACACCACATCCTCTGGCCCTGGGACCTAAAGAGGTCCTGTGACCTTCTGACCTTCAACAAGATTTCTATTGGGTTGCTATGTGTTTATCAGTGCAAACCCCTCCAGAACCCTCTCATCAGAGGTACTTACCCCATGGCAAATAAATCCCAAGTGATAAGTGTGCAAATCTAAGAGCAATGTATTTTCTGCCAGCACTTAAGTACGTAATATTCCAAAGTACAGTCGCTGTTGTTATATACGAATTAAATGCATCTGTCCATAAGATTATAAGCTCCTTAAGGGCAGAAGCCATGTATTAAATCCTCAGCTAACTGGGTATGCAAAGCCAGTATTCAAGCAGTGCCTATTTTTACCCCCCTTTCCTTCCCTAGAACCTACATCGTCTGCCTCCGAGGAATGTGGCGTTCGTACTCACTGTGTATGGGGACCTGGAACACCGTCATGGTCTCATCCTTATATTCTGGCGCAGAGTGGGGCCGCACAGCTTCGTGAAAGAGACAACAGGAGAGCAACTGCATTAGGGCAGACACGCGTGAAGGTCACGCTCCAGACCACCAACTACAAGCAACCGAACTGCCTTGGAATGTTGGTGAGAATCTGCACTAAAACTGGACTTTTTGAGTAAATTAAAACTGGGGGGAAAGAAGCAAAATATATTTGCATCAGCTACTAATATGTACTGTGGCCGAACGAAAAGGCATTATGATCACTGGTGACTCTGCATTAGAAAAGAAAGAAAAGGAAAGAAAGAAAGGCTCCAGGGTAGGAGGCACAAGTTAACACATAACACTGCAAGGCCAGAGTGTAGCATCTCAGCTGAAGAGCCAGTATGGACTCTGCAATCAGACAGGGCATCATCCCCACAGGAGCGCGGACCAGCTGCAGATGCACACCGCTTCTGGGACAGGCTGCAGGCGTCCCGGGTGTGCAGGGAGCCAAAGCTGGGGTAAGTGTAAGAGGACGGAGACAAAGCCTGGAGGCCCCTCTGCTCGCAGCCTTTCTCCGCACTGCAAGGAATTCAAGTAAATTCAATTCTGAGAACCATCTCCAGCTTATATTTGGGGGCATAAGGTGGGGACATAGAATATAACAGGCAATATTATAAAAATGCATCTATGCTGATGAAGGATTCATTTTAAGGTTTAATTTAGGTCTTTATGGATTCTAATTTGATGGACTAGGGCATACATGAGAAAGAAATGGCAGATAATGAGTCAGAGTCAGGGACATACCCAGGTCTATTCCTTTCAATGGACCAGAAAATATTTTGATAGCTTCTAGGTATTTTTCCTACAAAACAAAGAAAGAAAAGGAAAACGTGAACAGTTATAGTTACAACAATGTATTCAAGTACATAAGAGGTCTCAACATGACCTGTAATCTTTACAAAGTGTCCACTATGTGTCATATGCCAAGGATTCAGCAGGGAGAAGGAGATGGAGTCTCTGCCCGCACACAGCAGATGAAACAAAAATGAAACAAATGATGACACAAACAACACAGTGGCGGTTGTGCTAAGTGCTTTTCAAGAAACAGGGAAAACGCAGGGGGCTGGGGTATCAGTTGTTTGTAGACTCAGCCACACGGCTCCGGAGTCAATGACCTTCCAGCTAAGCCCTGAAGGGTCAGAAAGATTCCGGCAGAGATGAAAGGGACAGAGGGAACTCGTGTATGGATGAACCCCTGATACGGAAGGAGCTTCAGTAGGGCGCAATGTGGCTAAGAGTTGGTCTATGTAGCTCCAGCTTGGTGACTGGGATATAGATGCGAGCATGGACAAGGGCTAAGGCCTGTGGGATTTGTGGGCCATATTAAAGTGTTTGGACTGTACTGTATGGAGGACCCATGAAGAGTTTTAGGATGGAAGGACCGTGTATGTTGTTAAGCCTTAAAGAGGTCCCTCTGGCCACTGTGTGGCCGGTAGATTACAGGGACGCGAGAATGGATATAAGATGCCATCAGAGTAGACAGAGATGATGAAGAGCCTGATGAGGAGATAAATGAATGGATCTGAGATATTATTTTGGAGACAAAAGTATTTGGTGATTGGCTGCCTTCATCTTAAGAATTGGAAATAAACTGTTACATATTCAATAGTTGCAACAACATGCGCACTTCTCCACGGAGGAATGAGCAGATTTGAATGAGCAGATTTGAAAGCAATGAAGATGTCTCAAATTTAATAAATAGGTAAGAATAAAAGCTAGCATTTATTGTGTGCCTACTTGTTGCTAAACATCTAATAAATTGATTTAGTGGGTTTTTTTTGTGTTTTAAGTAGTTTTTTATTTTTAATTGATTTTGAGAGAGAGAAAAGGAGAGAAAGAGAGAGACACTGACATGAGAGCAAAACTTCGATCAGCTGCCTCCTACTGGGAATCGAGCCTGCAACCCAGGCATATGCCCTGACTGGGAATCACAGTGGCAACCTTTCTGTGCACAGGATACCAACCAACTGAGCCACACTGGCCAGAGCTGCTTTAGTGTTTTATATGTGTTACCTCATTTAATCTTTAACAATTCTATGAAATATTACAGCCATTTTACAGATGAAGAAACTGAGGCTCCAAGAGGTAAAGTAACTTGTTTGAGGTCATATAGTTAATAAGTTTTGAACTCAGGCTTCTTTATCTTGCAAGGTGAAGTGTTTACTCCACTATTAGTTATCTCTGGGAGGCAGAAGAGCGATTTACAGAAATGAAAATTCTTGTTATAACTTTAAGAAAAGATGGGCCCTTGGCAGTGTTGTTCAGTGGTTAGAGCATTAGCCTCAAGGGTCTTGGATTCAATTCCTGGTCAAGGGTGTGTACCTGGGTTTCAGGTTCAATCCCTGCCCCAAGGCAACCTATAAATGTGTTCCTCTCACATCAAAGGAATCTCTCCTCCCTCTCCCTCCCTCCTTCTACTCCCTCTAAAAAAATCAATGCAAAAAATGTCCTCGGGTAAGGATTAACAAACATTAATAAATAAATAAAAAAGGAGGTTAGTTTTGGAACTAAGTCAGGAGAGACTTACCAGTTGAGGAGGTCCAGAAAGTACACACTTTGGAAGCCCGGTTTCCTTTAAAGTAAGAATCATTCCTAAAAAGGACAAATAAAATCAGATCTCTCATCATCCTGACCTACAGTCACTGCCAGCAGGAGAATGCCTTATTAACCAGCTATTTTTCTACTTGTCCTCATTTCCGCTTCCAATGACCAGGGAACATGTGAACAGAAGTGATGCTGGCTAGAGGTACAAGGGACACCAAATATCCCTCAAATGCCTCTAGAATGAGCAGGGCTGATATTAGGGTGAGCCAGGGAGGCACCTAGAGTGAGAAACCACTCAAGTGAAGAGATGGTCTTAAATTTTGCACCCCAGGCACCTTCTTGTCTCACTCTAGTCTCGGGTCTCAGAATACAACTAGTTCAACACTCCTTCCTACCCACATCACAAAGCTTAGAGAATCTGGCAGCAACACAATGTTGACTTTTGTAGTTGGCTGGGCATGAATATTGGGGTAATCTGGAGAGTGGGCATCTGTGTGGAGCTGCTGATGCTCTCAATGATAAATATATTTACTGTAATCACCATCACTACACTCTCCAGTTTACTGTCACATTATCTCCAGTCCAGCAACTCAATAAACGAGTGGATGGTAATACTTGGAGCATCCATGGTGAACTCTGCCTTCCGAGTCACATCTTTCGATGCTTCACGCTGGAGCTGGCTAGCCTGGCATTAAGAGAAACAGCTACGCTGGACTTAGCAGATAAGCAGGTTAAAATCCCACAGATTTCCCTTCTGACTCTGGAAAGAATAAACTCACCACACAATCCCCCAACATTACTCCAGTGCATTCGGGTCAGGAATATGTTGTCCAAACGAGATACCTTCAGCCTGTAAAAGAGAAAACAGCTGAGTGGGACAAAGTGCATTGGCCAGGGACCATTTCTTCTGTTCTAAGAATGCCCCTGCCTCTCTCCTCCGCTTTCAAAGCCCATGATCATCCCACCCCAAAGGAACACGGTCCACTTACTTGTGCTCCTGCATGAGTCGCTGGACACCTTCTCCACAGTTGAAGAGATACCTACAGGAGGAACATCACAGGCTTTACTGAGAAGACTGTATTTTGTAATATCTCCGCCACTGATTAGATGTTTTATTGTATGCTCTGGAAAATTAAATAAATAAAAACCCATGCTGCGCTCCCTGGCCGCAATTCTGCAGTGAGGATGCTGGGTTTTGAGAGGTGTTTTCGGAGAAGGGCGGGCCCGGGAGCCGGCGTGGGCCCAGGAGGTCCTCGCTCATCACCACCCCTGCGGACCTCACACACCCCGACCCGGAGGCCCGTCCAGGCGCGCAGAGGCCGGGCTGCGGCTCAGACAACGCTAGGAGGGAAATCGGGGCCGAGGACGCTTCCACCCAAGTCTGGAGTTCTTCAGGGATCCAGGAATCGTGGTGGACCTGAGATTAAGGGATCTAGGGTGCCCCACCCACCCGCAGACAAGTTCGGCGGCGACAGTGACATCCCACGCCTCGAAGTAGCTTAACCGCGGCCCAAAGTAGCTTGACGGTGCCGCAGTGCTCCCGGGCGGCCGGGCGGGGCTCGGTACGGGGACCGGCTCCCGGCGCGACTCACTGACCGGTTGTACTCGGAGAAGACGTAGAGCGCCGCGCCCACGTCCCTGCCGCCGGCCGCCACCACCTGCAGGTACACGGTGTTCGGGCCCCCGGGCTCCCACGATGGGCCACGCTTCTCTCGCGTGCGCAGGTGCCTCAGCGGGTCCTTGGGCGGCCGCTGGCGGCGGGCGGGTCCCTGCGACATGGTGCGCCCGGCCACGGACCGCAGCAGCAGCAGCGAGCGGAGCGCCCACATGCGCGAATTTCCATCCAGGCTGAGAAGTGCAACCGGTCACTCAGTCCGCGTGCCCCACACCCCGCCCCTCCTTTCGCGTGGCAGATACAGCCAATCAGCGTGCCGCAAGCCCAGCTGCCCCGCCTACGCGAGGCTGCGCGTCCAATAGAAAGGAGCTTTGCCTCTTGGGCTTGTCAATTGACGGCAGCCATAGAGTAGGGGAGTGCTAGAGCGTCCGGAATGGCCCCGCCCCTTGTCTTTTTCCGGCTTTCCCCGTATCAGTTCTTTCCGGAAATCGTCCTTTGCCGTGGCTTCCGGGAGTGAGTGGATGGAAAAAGCACTACCGGCGAAAGACCGGATCCTTGCAGTTTCCAGTTCCGGTGACGGGTTGCCCCCTCGCCACCAGTTGTGATCTGTTCGCTTAGACAAGTCAGGCCCCTGGAGCTTTGGTTTGCTCTTGCTTGTGGTTGTGTTAGAATTACATGTGAGGAGATACATGGTAGGGAGTGTTAGTGTAGGAGCTTTCACTAAGTTTATTTACATTGTAATTCGTGCGAGGACATGTTTCAAATAACTGCTTTTACTGGCTTTTGGGAAGAAAAGCAAGAATAGTTAGAGGTTATAGAACAAACTCTGGAGCAAGAGAGTCGTGGGTCCATAACAAATAAGGAGTTGCACTATCCATGGATGAACTTGAAAGGAATTATGCTGCGAAATAATAGAAACGAAGCCGCTTTCAATGGAGCTTGAGCTGCCATCCCGGAGGAGCGTCCTTGCAGGTCAAAACTCTGGATTGTTAAAAGGGGAAAATAACCTAAGGCAACATTGTATAATCCCAAATACTGTTTGCAAAGTTAACAAGAAAGCAAATAGAATGACTATCTGACTGATGAAATGAAAATTGAAAACATTCTTTAGAAACTATAGAAAGGCCTTCCTTCTATTGATGTAACTCTATACCCCTTGCCTTGTCTCCTAATCGGAATACTGGGTTTCTGCCTGAATCCGTGCCTCCTGAATAGCTATTCTTTTCATCTCAAATAAATGCTTGCTGCTTCTCACTTTGGCCTTTTAGTTTAAGGTTAACAATGCTAATTGAAATAAACCAAAGAAAGGCATAATTTTACTTTTATATAGAATCTTAAAAAAAAACCAAAAACAAAACTCAGAAAAATAGTAGATTGGTGGTTACCAGGGGCTGAGAGGTGAAGCAAATTAGTGAAGGTGGTCAAAGGGTGCACAGTTTCAGTTACAAGGTGAATAAGTCTGGGGATCTAATGTACATCATGGTGATTATAGTTAATAATTCTTTATTGTATACTTGAAGTTAAACATGGTAGAACCTAAACATTCTAACGACAAAAAGGGTAACTATGTGAGATAATGGATGTATTAAATAACTTTATTGTAGTAGTCATTTTGCAGTGTATTCTTATATAAATCATATCATCATTGTATACCTTAAAGTTATTTAATGTTATATGTCAATTATATCTGAGCAAAGCTGGGAGAAAATAAAAAAATAAAAATATTAAAAAATTTAAAAGATATTAGGAAGTGCACTAAAATACTAACTTTTGCCTTGATTACTACATTGATAATTTTAAAGAAATATTAAATTTTACACACACAAAAATAAATTTTGGCCCTGGCCAGTGTGGCTCATTTGGTTGGGTGTTGTCCCATGCACTGAGAGGTTGCTGATTCTATTCCTGGTCAGGGCATATGCCTAGGTTTTGACATGATCCCCAGTGTGGGGCGTGCAAGAGGCATCTGATCGATGTTGCATTCTCACATCCCTTACTTTCTATCTCTCTCTCTCTCTAAAAAAAAAAAAAAAAAAAAAAAAAAAAAAAAAAAAAAAAATCAATAAACTATTCTTTAAAAAAAAAATTAATTAATTAATTGATTTTGGTTTTTCTATCTTACTGGTTCCCTGTCTCACTTCTGTCAAGTAATCCCAAACTGTTTATGCCTTAAACATATAGGAAGAATCTCTTTTCTTCATCTACTCATATAAAATTCTGAGATCTGGATGAAGTTCAGAACAGTTAGTGGTTATCACGTTGCTTCCAGGGCATAGTTTGCTTTTCTGCACTGATGCTCTGGGTCATATTTTTATGCCTAGTAGATGATGAAGACAAATGCCAAGACTTCTCCAATCTGAAGTTTTACTGGAATGTAAATTCCTTGAGCTCAGGGCTTTGTCATTCTGGCTCTGCTATAATTCTTAGCTTATGACAAGCAATTACTATTAGGAAATTAGGAAGAATCTGGTAGCTTAAATGAGGTTGTGCCCTTGCAATGGACAGGGCGCCAAATTCAATCAAGACAACAAGGAATGCGTTATCATCAGAAGAGGGGATGGTCTGACTGGGAGCTCCCAAAGAACAGGCAGGGAGTCAGAGATAGAAGTGTCCCCAGACCTGCCAGCATAAGGGAGCCTAACATCTGGGCATCAGGGGAGTCGATAGGGAGGCAGTGGACTTACAGAACTCAACCATACCTGTAATTAATTTAATCACTCTTGGCTTTGAGTCTCTTAAAGTTGTCATTGCTGTGTACACACACTACCTCTCGACGCAAAGGCTTGAGGACTGTTTTCGGGCATTCTGTTGTTCACAGTTCTGCTTCATGGGAGTGGCTCATCTCTGATTCTTGCGGCAGCTGCAAGGGTAGCCAAGTGGCCTCACATACCCGGGCCTTGGTGCTGACCAAGCTGGGGCACCTTGCTTCACGGCCGCACAGCCTCTCTCTGAGGCAGGATAGTAAGAAACTAGGAAAAGTCCATGGCAAGTGGAATGGGGAAACAGGCAAATAGCTGAACACACTGGCCTAGCAATTTACAGCCAGATACCGAAGGTCTAGCAATGGGTAAAATGGGCGCCCGGCCTTGCCCTCGGGGTGGCCTTTCCTCCCCTGGCATATCTCTGGTCATGTGATTTGGACCCCCTGATCTTTCCCACCTAGAGATAACGTCTAGGCCTCAGTTTCATTTCAGCTCCAGGCCCAGAAAAGCAGCAAAACCCGGCGGAGGGATGCCAGGACCAGCTGCAATAACGAATTGTTACTGGAAAGAGGGCCTGGCCCTGGTGTGCCTAGAGCCAGCTGGTGGTGTGTGGGTTCTTGACTTCACACAGGAAAAACTTCACAAATTGGGTCCAGGGGAATTTTCTTTTTTTCTTTCTTTCTTTTTTTTTTTTTTTGCAATGGTACACCTATTATCTTTATTACATACAGTCACATTTCTAAAAAACAAAAGCTTCAGTTACCATTTGGTAAGCACCCAACTATTTAGACCCATTATGACTAAATAAATAAGCATAGAAAAACATGATCCACACCTTCAGAAGGATTATGAATTCTCATTCAATAACTGATTGTGTTTCTGGGATCAGTTTCCCTGGATCTCTGTAGATCGTAACTCCAAGCTGTTGTAATATGGTCAGTTCCAAACACAAGTTTCTCTGCCACTCTTCCTCCTATAGGAACATCCATCTGTGCAAACAGCTGAGATCTGGCTTCATGCCATCTGTCATTCTCAGGCAACAGGGACACCTAGACAACTTGGGCTCGGGCAGAGGGAGGGCAGGCTGGACTGGAACTGTGTGGGAACACTCGGGATTTAGAGGGTGCTCAGAGCTGTTGCTGAGTTGCAGCCACACAGGATGGTGGTCAACTTACTTCTTCCCAGAGCTCTGGGGAGAGGCCGCAGCCCCTCCCTCCTGGGTGAATTTTCGAGGAGGTTTATCAGAGCCAGGGACAGTGAAGCAAGGAAGGGCTGGGGAAATGAGCATGGGCTGGTCTGCTTTGGGTCATTAAAAAGTCCAAGGAAAGGGGGCCTTGGGGAGAGGTTCGGGGGTTTGTCTGGGATGAACCGCTGCTGCCCATTGCTGCCCTGGTTGCAGGCCTTGCGGGGTCCCTTGGAGTCAGCAGAGGTGTGCCTGTCGAGGGAGAAGGTTGGGGAGAAAGCGTGGCTGTGCTCCCTGGATGGAGAGCCGAGCTGGCATTATTTTTCTTTTATGGGTTTTCAAGGCTGGGTGTTTAGGGGAAGTCATAGGGGAGGATCAATAGAATATTCCACAGCTTTATGCTGATGTTGTAATGAGACTTACTGTCTTAACGTCATCTGTCCTTGGATGTGGCTGGCAAATGGTACTCATTGGATCTGTCTCCCTGAGTAGGGTGATTTAAGCTATTTATCCTCTGACTGGGGAGGAGAAGAGCAAACCATTTACCCTTAAGTGTCCGTGGTTTAGGGAAAACAGGATTTACTAGATGTCTGCAATTTGCTGTTTAACTATCTGTCTCAGTTTCCCTATTCTGCTTGTCCTGGCTTCCTGGCCTGTCTCCTAATGACCCCCTGTCCTAGCACTGACCAAGCAGTAGAGACCACGCCTGAGAGGGCACACCTGTGGAGCTGATGAATATTCTATTGAGATTCTCCCCTAAGATCTCCTCTAAGCTCACAGCCTTACAAAATGAAGGTCCCAGCACACACTCTCTCCAGGGAGCCACCCCCCCACACACACACATCCCCTTCCCCCACAGGCATGCAGCTCCTGAACTCCAAGGGACCCCACCAGACTTGCCACCAGGGGAGCAATGGGCAGTGGCAGCACATCCCGGGCTAACCCCCTGGACCTGCCCCACGGCCCCCTTTTCTCTGACTCGCCGGTGAGCAGACAGCAGCAGCCCCGCCAGGGCTCATTCCTCCCTGATTCCTAGAGATGCAGCCCTGCCTGGGCTCTCTCCCGCCGCGGCTTCTATCCCAGGCCCTTTCTCCTTTCACTGTCCCCAGCTTAGTACATATTTTCAAGAAATCACTTTGACAGGTGTTGTGAAATCTTTCCTGCGTGACGCTGAGAACCCACGCACTACCGGCCAGCCCAAGGCCAACCCACTCCAGGCCAGGTCCCCCTTCCGTAACATCCTCCGTGTAAACTACTCTGTTCAGTGGGCTGGGACCTTTACCCGTGGCCAGCTTCCAAGAAGGTGCTTCAGCGTCAAAGCAAGGACATCAGCAC